TTGCTGATATTGTTCGAACAGTATTTCAACGTGGTTTAGATCGTTTTATATTTGGTCCAACATCTTACGATTCAGATGTATTTCGTTATACAAAATCATTACAACATGGTATTCCAGGATTATATGCTGGTAGATATAAATATTAATATTTAATCATATTAAATATTTTATTAACATGAAAAATAATTATTTTAGGAGAATCATGTCGATTAACATCAATCATATGTTCCTATGATGAACAATGTTGTTCAGGTCGATGTTTATGTCGTCGATGGTCAATTATGGGAGAAGAACGTTGTATTAGAAAATGTTTATAGAATAGATAAAATATTCAGTTTATATTACTTCTTGTCTATTTTTGTTAATCAATATTTGTAAATTAAAGTAATGTTTCAATGCAATTGTATAATGTAAAGAAAAAATAAATAAATAAAACTTGAATCTAAATGATTTTTTTCTTTGAAGAAAATCTATTCGTGTTGCTTTTTTAAAGGTTAGATCATATTATCAAACCAAATCAATGTACATCATCAATCTGATTACCATCGAAAAGTATATTGTTTTTTTTTTTTATAAAAAAGAAATGAAAGAGTAGTCAAGCGGGAATAGATGAATTTATGATAGTCTAAGATCATTTAATCGTACAACGAACACTCTTTATATTACAATGAAGATCTGTATGATATAAATCAAATGGTTTTTCCTTTTTTTTTTTTTTTTTTACAGAAAAAAGAACGCAAAATTTTTGCTACGACTTCTAGTTCTTAATAAAATACTTACTCTAGTACTGTGAATTAACAATTTGATTTTATGTCGATACAGGAAACATTATCTATAAATAAATACATTTAATTATTTTTAATTTTTTGATTTTAGTAAATCTATAAACTTAAGAGGAATTTTCTGAGAAGTGCATCGATGATGGAGTAACATATCTGAATATATTGATTTTTTTAATTGTTATTTTTTTCGAGCAAGTTTCTCTTGGAAAAAAAAAAGATTTTCTGACATGATGCTTTCTTTATCATTATCATTACTATATACGAAATTTCAAAAATTTGCCTTAATTAAATATACAATATATTGATACTCCAAACAGCGTCATATTTGACACTGCATGACATTTTGTTAGCAAAATGTTGATGGAGTGCTTTTTGTACGGCAACAATGAAATGCTTTTCTATTTTCATTACTGATAGAGTCCTAAAATTACTATGCCTAATGCATTAAATAGTAATGTCTCATGCGAAAAATCAATCACTTTTAATAAAAATTCATCTTTTTTTTTGCTTATCATTCATCTGATATGTTTTAATGTGTTGGTATATACTCATCTGTTTAAATCTTCTCCGCTGGTTCATGTTTTCTTGTTTAGCTATTGTTTTTTTTCTTTTTATTGTGGATGACATGACAGTATCAAATTACTGAAATTAAACCTATGGCATGCTGAGAGAAGTGTCATTTTCATACAAAAGAGCATAAATATGGATGTATTTCTAGATTTTGATTCGCAAGAGTTGAGTTTTTATAAAAGTAACCTTAATTATTCGGAATCAGCGTATAAAACTACACCGGAAAGAATATTTTTCATTTTGAAATATTTCTAATGAAAATTTTTTCTGTGCTCTTTCACTTGTATAATTTTATCCTGTGGTCTTCTGCGGGTGAAATTTCAATGGGAAATATTTTATGATGAAGAATATGTTTTCCGGTGTAGTTTTACATGGTGATTATGAATATTAGATTTTGTTTTTGAATAAAAATCAACGTTTTACAATAAAAATCTAGAAATACATTCATTCTTTATGCTATTTTGTATGGATATAACACTTCTCTAAACATGTCGAAGGTCGATTTTCAGTAACTTGATACTGTCATGCCATTCGTAACAAGAACAAAAATAGCTAAACAAGAAAATATTAATTAGTCAATCAAGTTTAATCTAAAGATTATATATACCAATATCTTCAAACATATTTTATAAATACTAGGAGAAAAATAATAATTTTTGATTAACACTAATTGATTTTTCGTATAGAATAATATTAATTTAATGCATCAGATGATAGAATCATTTAGAGCATTATCACTAATGAAAATAGAAAAGCATTTCATTGTTGTTATATCAGAATGCACTCGACCGACACTTTGCTAACAAAATGTCACAAAGGATCAAATATGATGTTGTTTGGAGTATCAGTATATTATAAATCTAATTATAGAAAATTTTTCAGACTTAGAACGTAATAGTTGACATCACTAATAATTATTATTAAACATTTCATCGGTATGTTGAATTAGAAAACATGATCGAATCAAGTTGAAAATTTCCGAGATTATTAAACTCATCATCCTATACAAAATATTTTAAACAATCAAAAAACTCAAACATATCACTCTCAGAAACTTATTCTTATCCATTTTCTTAATTTTCTTTTCAAAGGCAACAAACATTACAATATTAAATCTTTTTTCTAAAACTTGTTTCCACAATAACTTATTACAAAAATATTATTGCAACATTTCCATCGGTTTTTTTTTTATTTTAAATATTCTAAAAAATCGTGTTAGCTGAGCCTTTTTTGAGTTACTTACATGTCTTCTTTAGCTTCATTCTACTAATACAAAATACACACAATGTAAAATCTCTAAAAGACAATAGTTCTTTTCCAACGATAATTCATTGTTATCAAATGCTGTGTCATTTTTATTTCGACATTTCGAATAAAAATTTTTGTTTCTTTTGTCAATTGTTTTATTGCTAATGACATGCTTTTTTATTATTATTAATCTAACCATTGATTTAATACACTAAGAAGTATGTTGTACATATGTATTATATCTACAGCAGATCTTAACACATTTTTATCTATCGTTGATATTGATTATTCTCGAAAGATAGAACTTAATCAGTTCATACTTTTCTGTTGGTCATATAGTGGTTGTAAGATATCCAAACATCATCCTTGACATCTATCATGTAATTGTTTATCCGCACAGAAATCAGACAGTACTTGATTTAGACTATTAAAAAATGTATTCTGGCCATTTAAAATTCAATCAAGGTTCTTCGAAGCCTTGTTATTAACATCGTTCAGTGCCGTAAATACCGGTTGAGAGGAAATCGCAAAACTTTGATTACTCAGTATTTACCTTCAAATTTTAATTCTAAAATACATGATCGTAAATGATAAATTTTAGCTAGCATTGAAACTATGTTTTTTTTAGTTAGTATTTCAAATGAACGTCAAATGTTCAGATATAGTACGAAAATCTGAACAATGATGCTATGTGCTTCAGGAATTTCAGCTTGCATTTGAGTCAAGGCAAGAATTGTTTTCTCATAACTGAAGTCTTCAATGAAAAATAAATACTGTATCAGATGAGCAATAAAAAGAAAAAAAAAACAGCTGTCACACCGTTTCAAGCACATACCATTACTCATGGTTTAGTCTTTATTACCAACTAAACTTTCAAAATGGGCAATAAATCATGTAATAATTCTTCCAGTGTCGTTCATTTTTTAAATCAATGATTCATACAAATAATGGCTTCACATCACATCTGGCAGCATACCCTAAGTCTTTTTTTACATGCGATGCTTTCTTAAAAGAGCATAAAAAATCCAAAAGATCAGAATTATTCGTCAATGAATCAGAGTGATTTTGGAAAAAAAAAGATTAAGAACATTGCAAATTGAAAAAAATTTGGTTTGAATTGATTAATCCGATTGAACAAATCTTCAAATAATTCTATTCTAATGGTACCTTGAAATACTGTTAGTTTATATCAAATCAGATTGCACTATTTAAATGTGTGAAATGAAATACATTGAAGTTATTTGATTATTTATCACTTTATCTATAAAATTGTGTTGTGATTGGATAAATCATTTGATTGAAATATTGAACTCTATTTATTTGACCGAATGCTTAAGGCTATCAGATACACATGAAAAAAGAATATATATAAATAGTACTAATACAGATGATGCCTAAATATTCTTTATTTTCATTGATGACAAAACGTACTTATACTTCATTCGTTTAATCTCATCTCAAATTTTTATTCTTTTCGATTATTTCTCTATATGGCTCACTTGACAATTGATCGATTTACCTTTCTTTATGTATTTTTATTTCTCTTGTCATCAACTACTCAAATTTCATCAATTGGAGAATCTGTTTTGCTGCTAGTATGTCTATTTCATATAAGTGTGAAGTGGCTCATTTGTTTGATGAACACATATAGAAGAGAGAATGAATGGATATAAAATGAAAAGTAATTGAATTGCTTCACTTTTTTTTTGTATTCTCGGTACCATATGTATACATACAGTACATATGAATTTTAGAAAAAGATTGAACAAAAAAAAAAAATTTTTTTGTCATTAATGTATGCAAGCTGTGCTATATGGGTTTGTCATCCGTGAGATATAGAGATAGAAGAAACAATAAGGTATAGTGGGAGAATGACTGTTCTCAAGCTGATGCCGAGTGAACATCGATTACTTGTCTTTAGTAAGAAATTAAAAAAAAGATTATATTCATTGATATTCTTCTTTTTTGTTGTTTAAAGTGTGTAGATTTATTTCTGTTCATTAGAGATTGTTTTATTTTTTATTATAAAATATTGATCTATTAGAGACTGAAGATCAGTTGACCGACAACAAGTCATGCAAATGAAACAATAATAACGACTCTCTCTTGTTCTCGTCTATTGTTCTGTTCTTTAATAATCGATTCTCTCAGACTATAGCCCCATGCAAGGCCAATATATACTATATGTATGTATACTCGCGCGTACTGTTCAATTCAAGTGGCTAGAACTGGCTGCATGATTGTTTGAACATTGTGTGTGCATACATGCATACAATGCACACACAAACATAGATTGAATATACGTGCTCATTATTATACTGTATCGGTAGCATTATACAAGTTTTTTTTTTCTCTTTTCAACGAACTTATCGACTATCTGATATTCTGTTCTAGAAAGAAATGAGCTTGGTACATTGGACTATACTCATAACAGTTTTCACTCTAACTCAAACATCAACTATAAACTATCTTGAAAATTGTACATATTCATTAGATCTCTACAAACAATATTTAAATGTTCTATGGTCATCAAATGATTCTCATACATTACATATTCAAGCTGTTTATTCATTATCATCGAATAATTCATTTATACCCGGCCATATATATACATATTTTTCTCAAACTGTTGCTTTAATACCATTTTTTGTTCAATGTAAATATCCAAAAAATATTTATTCCAAATCTTATTTACCATTTACACAATGTTCATCAACAATAACAAATTTTTTAACAAAAAAAAATTATGAATCAACACGAACATATTTAAATTTAAAAACAATTTTATCAATGACTAATGTTCCATTACTTTATACAGGCGAATATAATCTTTTATTAACAAATTGTTCATTTCGATTGAATTCAAATATATATCAATTAAAATCTAATGATTTATTTAATTTTCGTATTGAATATGAAAGTCCAATAAATAATAATAATATAACATCATGTAATAAATGTAATAAACGTACATCAATATGTTATGAAAAAAAATGTTTATGTCGTTCAGGTACAATATCATTAAAACTTCATCAAAATAATGAATATTGTATTGATACAACAACAAATTGTTCATATGATTTACAACGTTGTTTAAATTCAAAATCAATACATGCATTAAATAATCATTCAAATCAATATATTCTAATATTAATTCTATTAATAAGTTTACTTTTCCTGTTATTTCTTTTTCTATTATGGTGTTTATTACATAATACATATAAAAATACATTACAAAAAGAAAAAGATCTATATTCAAATCAATCTATATTTACAATTAATAGACATGAACGTACACCATCAACTATATCAACAACTGATTCAATTAAATTAAATGATTATAATTTTATTGATCAACATATTCTTGCTAATGAATATGTTAGTACATTTTATGAAGAATATCCTAAAATAATTTCGAATAAAAATAATACCGAAGTTGTTTTAATTTTAGCTTAAATTAATTTTTATTTTGTTTTGTTTTGTTTTTTTTTGTTTTACTAGTCATTCACTTTATTAAAATAAAGAATAAACAAACTAAAGTCCTTGTTAACATTGCATGTATTGGTTTCTTATCATCATGAAACAGAATACGATAAACATAAGGAACAACACGGTCTAAAATAGTAGTCGTCAGTATGACGCTCGCTTATTTTCTTCATAACGCAGAAAAAAAATTAACCAAGAAGCGAGGTAAAGTATATAACGCGATAAGAGGTAGCTGGGGGGCTTGCAATTAATCTCTAGTGGTTACGTAAACGTATAAAACAAGTGCACACATGCATGTTTTTTTGTCACATGAGCAAAAAAAATTAGATTTTTTTAATATTATTTTTTGTTGAAAATTTAGATAAAAATATGGAGAAACCAACGGTAAATGATGGTGATGAAGCAGCAAAAGAACAATTAGCAGCACATCCTCCACGACTTCCAACTCATCCTGATGAAACAGAGAATATTCCAGCACCAATTATTGTGCCAGATGGAGTTTCACCACCAATACAACATCCACTTGATCCATTAAATGCTGGTAAATATAATGAGTATTCATATAAAAAAAAGACTAGATCATATTTTTATTTTCATAATAGAATAAACAATTATTTTTTTATTATCGAATAGATCATTTAAATTTGTTATTTTTGTTTTTATTTACTTAGACGAAATTAATTTAACAACACGTTTACTTAAAGAATCATCAACATTTCAAAATTATATGCGTATTATAACAATTACTCCACATGAACCTGAAGATAAAAACTATGTCATGAATTTTAAACCAAATGATCCATTACAACGATCAGCACTTGCAACAATTCGTGATCCAAAAGGTCGAACAACATATAAAGTTATTCTTGATTTAACAAAAAAAACTATTAAAAGTTTTACTGAATTTAAAAATGTTCAACCAAGTATAACATTTGATGAAGTGATTGAAGCTGATAATGCACTACGTACCAGTGAACCTTTATTAGCTGCATTTGCTAAACGGAATATTAAAATAGATGATGTTGTTTTTTATGTATTTTCATCTGGTTATCGTGATGAACGAGATTCAGCATCTAAACGACGAATATTTCGTCCATATGCTTCTATTAAAAAATGGGATACTGATAATTATTATGCTCATCATATTGATGGTATTGTGATAACTGTTGATTTAGATTCTTTTACTATTGAAGTCGAAGATAATATGATTGTACCAATACCTCCAAAATGTGGCAATTATGATCCTGAAGGTATTAAATCACCAGATAATATACCCTATTTTCCTGATGGTGTCCGCAAAGATCTCAAACCATATGTGATTACTCAACCAGAAGGTCCATCATTTCAAATAAATAATCATCAAGTTACATGGCAAAAATGGCGTCTTCGAGTTGGATTTAATGTTCGTGAAGGTAAAGACTCCGAGCTCTTTTTCTTTTGTTTTTATTGTTTACTAGAATTGATTTTATTCATAAAATTTCTTTTGTAGGTCTTATATTAAATATGGTTGAATATTTTGATCAAAATCGTTGGAGACCTATTCTTTATCGAGCAGCTATTAGTGAAATGTGGGTACCGTATGGTGATAGTAGCCCTTCACATAGTTATAAAAATGCATATGATGTTGGTGAAGCTTGTATGGGTTTATTGACAAATAGTTTAGTACTTGGATGTGATTGTCTCGGTGAAATTCGATATTTGGATGCTATTCTTAATAATAATCAAGGTCAAGCAATATTATTAAAAAATGCTGTTTGTATTCATGAAGAAGATATTGGAATACTTTGGAAACATACTGAGTAAAAGAAATTGTTTATTTATATTGTATAAAGAATTATATTTCATATTAGTTTTCTTACTCAACGTTCACAATGTCGTCGTTTACGACGTCTTGTTGTTTCGTCTATAATGACAGTAGGTAATTATGAATATGGTCTATATTGGTATTTTCTGCAAGATGGTGCAATTCATTTTGAAGCTAAACTTACTGGAGTTATCGCACCAGGTAAGTAAAAATTAAAAAAAAAACAAATATCTTTTATTAGATTAAACAAAAAAAAATAACGATTTGTTTTTTTTAGGCGCAATTGAAAACGGAAAAACACCTGTATCCGGTGGATTAGTAGCTGAAGGTTTATATGGTCCACATCATCAACATTTTTTTAATATGCGTATTGATTGGATGGTTGATGGAGTAAATAATTCTCTTGTAGAAGTTAACTGTGAGCCGTTACCAAGAGGACCAGATAATCCAGAAGGTAATGCTTGGGCAGCAAAAGAAACAGTTTTAAAAACTGTTGGTGAAGCACGTCGACTACATGATGCAACAAAAGGACGTTTTTGGAAAGTAATTAATTCTCAAGTCAAAAATCATGTTAATCAACCAGTCGGCTATAAACTTCTACCAACTGGTCCACCATGTTATCCATTGTGTGATTTAAATTCTGCACAAGGTGGTAGAAGTGCACTTGCACGTTATCATTTATGGGCAACACGATATCATCCAAATGAATTTTTTGCAGCTGGTGATTTTCCTAATCAAGCTAAAGGTGATGAAGATGGTATTGCTATTTATAGTGAAAAACATAAAGATGAATCATTAGTTGAATGTGATCTTGTTACATGGTATACATTTGGTATAAATCATATTGTTCGACCTGAAGATTGGCCTGTTATGCCTGTTGAAACTGTAGGATTTCATTTACAACCTTGTGGATTTTTTGCTGGTAGTGCAGCCATGGATGTACCGCCATCAGTTCCAAAATGTCCTGGAACATCATGTGGCAATCATTAATATAAAAAACGATTCATGAGCAAGGACGATAAAGCTTTTTATTTATATTTAATTTTTTTTTCTGTACAATTTAATTATCAGAAAATGTTTAATGTAGTTAAATTGACTTCTTTTTAGTTTGTACTGTTGACAACTGGCGACCTCATTGATTATCACTAAAAAAACAAAGAGTTATTTATTGATAAGATTCTGATTCATTTTCATTTTCAATTTCGTTATTTTCTTTTTCTCTGGACGACCCTTTATAGAAGTTCCATAGGAAATAATTCTATTGAATAATAAATTATACCAATCTAAACAATTATTCACTGTGTGTGTGTGTGATTATCCCGATATTTACATGTTACTAGTCTTTGTTCTATTGTTTATATTAATTGTTATTTGTTATAAATTTAATTTTTATTCAAAATTTCTAACTCTCATTCGGGAGGCTTATTTTTATACAAGATTCTATGTTTATCGATACAAACTGTTGCGAACAATGAATAATGCGGGTGAGAATAAGTTAACAAAAATAAAATTTTTTTTTTATTTTGAAAACTTTACTTTTGTTTTCTTTGTAGCCCTTAGTTTAGCCGTATCGATGTTTGAAAGAAATGGTACTGATAATATTAATTTATCTGATATGGATTCTGAATTATATATTCTTGGTGTTAAGTATAAAACTCCAAACGGTAAATCATTTTTATTTTTTGAAAATAACAATTTATTTATAAATTTTTCTTTGCTATTAGATTCTTATGCTATCACTGATGATGTTATAAGTAGATTCTGGTTTACATATCGAAGTGGATTTGCTCCAATTGGTGAGAAGTATTAAATGAAAAGAAAGCGACAAAAAGAGAATCTCTATTTGTATTTAGGTGGTCCATCCGGCCCAACAAAAGATACAGGATGGGGTTGTATGATGCGTTGTGGTCAAATGATGTTAGCCGAAGCATATCTTCGATTTTTTCTACCAGCTGGAAGATGTATCTGAAAAAAAAAGACAAAATATTAAAAACGAATTGCAATTTTTTTATTAAATAGATTTTCGATGGCGCCCCAATATAACTGATCCGATGTATTGGGAAATTTTAAATATGTTTATTGATAAACGTCATTCATCTTATTCTATACATCAAATCGGTTTGTAGAGTTAGTGAATAAATATATTGAACCTGTGTTTTGTTTAATATCTGTTTTAGTTCAAATGGGAAATTCTGAAGGAAAAAGTATTGGACAATGGTTTGGTCCAAATACAATAGCTCAAGTACTTCGGTAATTCGAATTTTATCTGAAGAAAATGTAGAACTGTTTGTTTTTTTTTTGGTTTATTTAGACGAATTGCTTCAAATGAATTTGATAAACAAGTTCATGTACATGTTGCAATGGATAATACACTTGTACTTGATGAAATACGTTAGTTTCTTTTTAAACTTGTTTATAAAAAAAAAAGCTATTGGTGCAAATCCTGTAAGATACTATATAGTTGCTGTTGCTAATCATAGGAAGATTATTTTGTAACACATTTCTTTGTTTTTCTTTGATTAAATTCTTCAAAAATTCAATAACGAGGTAATTCATATATTATAATAAGAAGTTATTCATACACAGTCTATGATGCTAAATCTATGTCTAGCATGATCTGTGGTGCAAGGGAGAAAAGCATTTCTAAGGCGTTTGTCATGATCTGTTACATTTCTACAATTGTGTCTATCACGTTCTGCGAGGATCTCTGAATAGTGTCGGTAATGATCTTTGACTAACGAGGGAGCATTCTCAACTGTTACATAGCTTTTAAGTCGTGCATATGCGCATTATGTAGATCCTCACGATCTATGAATTCTCTGAAAAAAGTTCTTGCCACTAGCTTATTATTGCTGAGATACTGCCTTGTTTTACTGTATGTTTAAGAAAAGAGAACAGTGGTCTCCCACAGAAACACTTGAAAAACTGAATATTGAATTTCAATTTCAATTTCAAACTTTGCATAGATGTAGGGCTCAATGAGAATACTTTATTATGAAAGTTTCAGCTTCTTTCGTTGCACCTATCCTAAGATACAATTATCATAAAATTGCTCATATACCACAGCGAATCCGATGTTCTTTTCTCAGACTAGGAGCAACCAAAAAATCTGAAACATTCACAATAAACTGTTCTCATTGAGGTCTATATACATGCAAAGTTTCAGGCTGAAACGCAAAACTTACTTTCCCTGATGTTCCTGAGGGGAACCACGGTTTTTTCCGAAACATATAGTAAAAATGCTATATCTCAGTAGTAAGAAGCTAGCGGCACGAACGTTTTTGGGAGGATTCATATATCATTAGGACCTACATAATCCCCATACGGCCGAGTCAAAAGCGATGTGTCACTTGGGAATGTTCTCTCGTAAGTTTTGTTACAGTCTGTAATAGTCTCGGACTAGCATCTATTGCAGTCTATGATGACGTTTGGCTAAGATATTTTTGATGTCTGTAGAGTGAGTCCAAAGTTCTACTGATAGATGTTAACACTCATGTAAGATCGTGTTTTAGAAAATTAAATTATTTCTTTTTAGGTAAATTATGTCAAATCAATTCGAATATTCTTAATGTACTAAAGAAATCAAATGATTCACAAAATACTTGGAAACCATTAGTAATTATTATTCCATTAAGATTAGGTTTAAATGATGTTAATATAGAATACATTGATCAATTGAAAGTATATTAAAAAAGAAAGAAAATTTTACGAATTAAATATTATTTATTTAGTTATGTTTTCGTTTACCACAAACACTTGGATTTATTGGTGGAAAACCTAATCATGCACATTATTTTATTGGTTATTTACAAAATGATGAACTTTTATATTTAGATCCACATGTAACACAGATGCATATTGATACAACTGTTATTTCAGATGATTCATCATATCATTGTGATAGAATTAACAGAATGAAATTTTCTGGACTTGATCCGTCACTTGCTTTGGTAGAAAACATTATAATAAATAATCTAATTATTTATTTTTTTCTTATATTTTAGGCATTTGCTTGTAAAACTGAAAATGAATTTGATGATTTAATTGCGAAATTAAGACAAGTAAATTAGAAAGAAAAAAAAAGAAGTTTTTCTTATTAAGATAAAATATTTTAGAATCTTCCTTCAAGACCAATGTTTGAAATATGTGAAACAAATCCATTTGATGCTCTTGCAGAAAAAATGGAACAACATGAAGGTAAATCTATGATATATATATATATAAACTATTACTAAAATCTTTTGTCTTTTTATAGTACTCTCTTTAGATTCGGATGATGATTTCGAACTTGTTTAATGCTATTTTTTTAATCATTATAATATTCTACATTTGTGAATTATTATAGAGAAATTTCAAATTGTTTATATATACACAAGAAATAAAAATGCATTTCTTTATCATTTTTTGTTTTATTAGTGACCTATGTTAGATAGAATATTTACACAGAGAATATGATAAAAAAAAATATTAATGCAATTCATCATTTCGAATGTTTGTATATGACATAAGTAATGACTTATCTCACGATTAATGACAATCGTAGATATAGAAGTTGTATAAACATTGATTAATGGTTAATCTGTTACTACGTGATACTCACACCAATAGAAATTGGTGTTCAGTCAATGTTGAGAATAATTTCAACAGGTGTTGATTGCAACACTAGTATAGTTAAATTTAGATGAAGTTATTTCATTATGGAGATGTAGCATGAGTCAAAAAAATGATTCATTTGTCATGAACGACATAAGAATTCCATTTATTTTTAATTCGATTTTTTGAATCTTTTCCCGTGACTATGTTGTTATTTTATCTGTATGAAACTGGAAACCTACATATCATGAATATTTTTTTTGAAAAATGAGTCATCTTGGTCAAGTGTATATGCGTAGACACTTGCATTGTTGATTCTGAATCGAAACTACCTATTGTTGTGGCTGAGGGTTCTTCTAGAAAGAAGGCCATAACAGAAGCTACAGATTTCTATCTTTTACCGATAAAAAGTTATTTAAAAGCGAGCGTGGATTGCTTGTCGATCGACTATTATTTCTAATACTGTTTTTAGAATCAACATCATATTACTTACAACGCGTGTTTGAAAAATGACACAAGTTGTCATTTAACATTCTGCTTGCACATCTGTAATCAAGAACTTTCAATAAACTATTCTGCAAATAAATATGCCGGCAGTATTATATATCAAATTTACCTATATTAAAAGAATTAGTCTATGAAAGTCATTAAAAAAAAGACCAGAATTGTGAATATTGAATATATCAGAATCGGAGGTACTATAAAAGTTATAAGTTGCTCAATGAACTATTTTTATTGAATACTTTATTAGTGCCATGTTTAAAGTTGAAAGTCAATTTTTCGTCGGCCTATAGCTTATTGCTGGAAAACCCAGTAAAACTTCAATATCTCGAAGATGCAGGCCTGGAAAAACAAACCATTGTATGCTTGTTGTATTACTCATTAAATGAACATCGTTTCTATTGAAAAGTGATTTGACATTTGGAGAGGCTTCTTCGTTAGCTGAGATATACCTACCGTTCAGAAAAAAGAAAATCCAGTAAGATTCACTGTTTGAAGCACCTACATCGGAGCTTCATGTGTCTGCCTTTGAAAATTCATCAATGGGAGTAGTGTGTGACAGTGTTTTATGAACCACTATTATAGAATGCCTTGAATGTTTCGAAATTCAAGAGAATCAAGTGAAATCCAGTGCTCGGAGTCCCTGAATTGGAATGGTACATATCAATAGTGGTAACTTCTTCGATGGGGTTGTGTGTCACAGTATTTTAAGTCATTCTCATTGTAGAATGTTTTGAATTTGAGCTCGAGAGCTGTTGAATTTTCAACTTCTGGATGATGGGTATTATTGCATCGAGCCTAAAACGCATTGATAGTCCTGCTATTACATAATGCTTTGCTATTAAATCTTGATCAATGGATTTTATATATTATGCAAAATAACCTTTATTTTACAAAAAGTTTAAAAACATTTTACGAACTATCCTACTCATAGAGTAAAGCAATTGATGCTCGGATCATCTTGCTCCGCTTTAAAATAATCAACTTTTCAACATATTATTATCCAGTCAAAGGTTTAATAATAACAAGGAAGATGGTTTATCATTTTTTATGAGATAAAAAAGCTATCTTAGTTCTGATTTGATATTATTTTCCTATCCATTGTTTTTGCTTATTTATTCATTTTCTAGAAATGCAATTTGAAGATTTACCTGGTGAATTATGGTTTCTTATTCTATCATATTTGTCACCATTGGAAGCTTTTTATGCATTTAGTAGTATAAATAATGCACGTATACACTCAATACTTACTGATATGTATTTAGTACGACAAGGTAATGATAAATGTTCATCAATTTTAAATCTCTCACTTGCACATTTACCATTATTTATGTATAATTTTGCTATAACAAATATTATTTCATACTATTCAAATGTAATTCATTCATTAACATTATCTAACCAACAGACACCTGGCGAAATAAATAGTTTTCTTCAAAAGTATTCCTTTAAATATGATTTTAAATCTTTAAAATCTTTATGTTTAATTGAACCATCATCAAATGAATTAAATATAATAATTAATGATTTATCAAACATAAAAATGCTTGATATTCAATCAAAAGAAATATATTCATTTGATAAAGATACAATACAAAAAATTCTTTATTCAAAATCATCGATAGATTATTGTTGTTTAAGTCAATTTCATCAAAATTTTATTTCAAATGATTCCTATTCATTCATACAAACTTTAATTATTGATTCATGTGAATATTTATGTTTTATTAATATACTTAATCATTTTTGTTTATTGAAAAAACTTTCAATTAATATACTTTCAATGTCACATAATGCCATATTATCATCAAATAATTTAATAGAACATCCAGTATCAATTAAAAATTTAAAACTACGTGCATTTAGTATTCCATTTGATTATCTTCTTGTATTATTTTGTTTATTTGAAAATATTCAAAAATTTTCATTATCAATTATATGTGATGAAGGTTTGTAGAAATTTGAATTTAATATAGAAATAATTGATTGAAAGCGTTTTTTTATACGTTAGAAAAAAAAATACTTAATTTTTAAAGTACGCAATTTTTGTTTCGAATAGGTTTTGATTATGTAAATAGTGATAAATGGCAAATGATTATTAATAATTATTGGCCATTATTAAAAAAATTTCAATTGTATAGTGAATTATGGCATTTAACATCAGCAGATTTCGATGAACTTTATCCTCAATTATTATCATTTAAAACTAATTCTTTTTGGATTGAACGTCAGATAAGATTTATTACAGATTTTTATCAAGATAAAAATGATCTTCATCTAATTTTTTATTCAAATCCATATCCGGATCACAAATTTTCGAATCAGTAAGTAAACAGATTTTCATATATTGCGTTCTTGATGTTTCTTAAGTGTCTCTTTTCTTTTCAAAAAATATTCTTTTAATCTCATTTTTAAATTTTTTTTAAAGATGGGGCAATCCAATTGATATTGCTTTAACTTCAACAAATAATATATATTCATCATTGTTTAAAAATACATATGAAAATGTTAATCGTTTACTTTTAACGATTTATAATAATAAACAAATGCGATATGAATTAGATAAATGTTCACGTTATTTTTCTAATGTTGATACATTAACAATACGATTTGAACAACATGTATCAAGTGCTTTATTTCGAATATATATTGAAAAAATAATTAATCTTAGTCATGTTAAACATTTAGCATTAAATGGTAAATGTCATAGTGTGATAACATTATATGAACTTGTCTTACGTAAGTTTATTGAAAATTACTAATTGGAAAAAGAACATTTTTTTACAGATTCGAAATAGACAATGTCATTTCTGACATGTTGACAGATCAAGAACGATTAGTGTACATATAACGGAGCTATGGAAGATTAAGAAATACTGAAAATTTCATGTAAACAAGGGGGACAATAAAGTGAAATGGGTCGCAGTATGATAGCTGTGTATATTCGAATTTATTAATATGTTTAGAAAAATAAGTCAGAGTTAGGACTAAAAACAGTTGATTTCAATCATTTATTACTTATGGACATATCAATAGGAATGGATGATTCCGATTTCAAGTTACAAGAGTGTTGGAATCAAAAATATTTAAACAAAATTTTTAAAAAGCACTATTTTTTTCTTAAAGAAAAAGATAAATTGCAATCAAAGAGTACATGTATATATTTTCTTCTTCAACAATATTACCTTTTGTCATCACTCAAGATTCTTGTGATTACTGATCAGTCATATTTCATTGCTGCACACTGATGGTGTCATATCAAGCTTGAGTTTGAGTTTGTCTTGTTTAGAGAGACCACTAGTATTGAAATGTTAATTGATCGATTGAACTATTATTTACTTTACATAATTAGTTGGCTCTCTTGTGTTTAGGATATAGTCCTTCGCATTGTGGTCAGCTATTTAAGATTTGAAAATAGAAATGAATTATTAACATAATTTAAATGAGAAATTATTGTAAATAATGATAAAGCTAGTGCTCTTGCAGTAGTAAATTACCTATATCACAAGGCGACCATTTATTCTACATTCACCGAATTATTACATCATACACACACTATGAATCATTTAAAATTATCAAATATTAAGTGTTTCTTTTCGGTTATAATATTCTTTCTGAAATATAGATAGTGTATCTGTGCAGTACATAGAAGATGCTCCGATTATAAGAAAAAGAAAAGTTCTCTTGCATATCTTCTATTGATAGTTTTCAAACATTCGGTTTCTCACTAATCTAATGTCAAGTTATACTTTCAATTATAGCAAAACAACTCACTAGGAAAATTAATTCGAGTTCTAGAAGAAATTCTTCGCTTTCTTCAGGTCTTTCCAACATGACTAAACTAACCATAACCAGTAATCATCGTATATTAATAAAACAAATATTTCAAGCAAAAAATCAATGTTTATTATTATTATTAAGTCAACGACTTCAACACTTTAATATATTATATGATGGTGTTACATCATATGAAACAGTACAAGCCATACGTTATCATTTTCCTCACTTGAAAACATTTTCAGCTTGTTTACCACATTTCGAAGACTTTCGTGATGCAATTCCATCATTTATGCAACATATGAAATCACTTCAATATCTTCATATTGGTCTTGAATGTGATAATGACAAAAAAAATTTTACTACGCAAGATATGTATGATTGGTTTCGACGACATAATATTTTACATGAATTTAAATTACATATTGATACGTATACAAATTCCATACATATTTGGTTATAATTAACGTTAAAATTTTGTTTATCTTATTGTTATGGTTGTCGTTATTGTTTTTTTTTTGATAGTATATTTATTAAATAAAATTTCGAACGCAATGAACAAAAAAAAAGAAACGTTTAGTTTAAAAAAAGTAGATTAATAAAAGAATTGGCATAAATAGATGTATTGAAGCAGATGGGGATAAGTTGAGTTCTTTTTCACAGAAATTAGATTTAAGTTCTTTTTTACAGAAATCAAGAGCAAGAGATATTCGTGTTTCGTTAGCAGTTAAATTCGCTCCAGAATTTTGAAAGGAGCAAAATCGTGACCATTTATTAACGACATTAAATGTACCATCACCAGGACTAAATGAAAGATTTGTTAAAATCAAAACAAAATATACTGCCAAAGAAATTTTTCCAACTTGTAAATTGCTTTCGAGTTCGGACTTCGTGCATTAGGTAAATTCTGATGAAATATTAAGAAATCAAAAAGAGTAAGGATCTCTCGGCCTTCCTTAGAGACCGATAGCTGTTTGACTGAAGTTTCAGTCTGTACAATGGTATGTACCAAAGAATTGAACAATAGTATCTTGACCTGATATTTTGTCTATAGATAGGCCTACTTGTATCTTTAAGACGTTCTAGTTACAAGTAGGCCTATCTATGGGCGAAATCTTAGGTCAAAATATTGTCATTTGATTCTTTTGTACCTACCAGGCTATACACTACAACTTCAGTAAAACGACTATAATTCTAACGAAAGCTAACATGCACGTATCCTTGTAAGATTTTTTCGTATTCGGATCCATCTCACACAGAAAACCAGAACTCAAAAGAGACTTTCAAGTTGGTTAAGGCTTTCTTGTTGGAGAATGAAAAGCATTACCATTCTGTATAACTAGGTCGTTGTGATTGCCGATGAGTAATTATATGATAATCTTTTTTGACATGGCCTCGTGCAATACCACATCGAATCCATGAATATACTGCACTTAATGCCTTTTCATTTGGAGGTGCTGTTCTGAAATCACCAATTATACAAATACCTTAAAAATAAATAAATAAATAAATGTTTTAAATAGTAGATGTTAATATTTTTAACCATATGCATCGTTATTCCATTCGGGTGCATGAGCACCTTGACGATCCCATCCTCGACCTTCATAAACTTTACCATTTTCACCAACTAAAAAATGATAACCTATATCTACCCATCCTCGATCAAGTTGATGAAGATCTTGAATAGCTTTCACTCGTTGAATACATGATGTGTCATCATAACAACTATAAAGAATAAACTTAGTTAAATAATTTTACATAGAATTAATTTACTTTGGAGGTTGATAACTATGATGAATGACATAAAATGAAAGAGGTTTTCCTGTTAGATTTGTTATTGACGTTGGTTCTCGTGCACCCCATCCAGCTCGATCAACGAACGATACTTCATCACAGGGTGATTGACCACTAACAGAGGTAATAAACAAAAGATAAACCAACAATATACTTTTCATGTTTCTTCAATGTAGGATTTAGATAATAAAACGTCAAATACCGAAAGTATTTGAAGCTTTTACTTCTTTTGATCTGACTAACATTTGAATCAACAGTAATAAAATAACCTTTGGATTTTTTTCTTGCATACATCTCAATTTAATCTTATATGACAAATAAACGCACAACGTATGCGCGTAAAAGAAAATACTTGAATCTAATCGCTTAATTTTAACATGAAAAGGCATATTAACTAACAACAAGTAAAAAAATTCGATCCAAATATTGTTTTCTACATACTTTTACAAGATGTCTATACATGCTTCAGTCGAATTCCATACTTGCTACAAGAATATGAATATCGACAAAGAATATTCTGATTTGTGTTTTGAATACTAAACTTGAGATATCAGGAAGATAAATAAAAATTTAGCATATCGTGTATTCTAATAGGTACACTTATGTTTGAATAACTCGAGTTGCATCACGGTTTCCTTAGTTGATGGAGCTCGAAAAACTTATTTACTGCTCCGCTATATGACAGCTCATTCTCAAAGGATACACAATTTTTTTTTGTTGGGAGTTGATAAAAATGGTGAATACAAATGTGTAAGAAAATTTTTCTAGTCATATACTTTTAATAAACAATCAGTTATTTACTGTCAGTCTTACTTAGTGAATAGCTTAAATCTCAAGCCTTATTTAATAAATATTCAGCTATTTATATATGCTAACTGGTTTGTTTTGATCATATGGGTATGTGTGGCACTAGTGACCATACGGTTACTAGGGTACGAATGATCATCTGGTAACTACGGCTATAATGGTACCAATGACTGCGTAGGATAACAAAAAAGGTATCTACGCATAAGGATTAAGATTAACCGAGTGGCATGTCTGCACGAAAAATATTAAATCTGTATGCACTTCGTATTTCATATTACACGATCGTATTTCTTCGGACCGTTTACAGAGAAATATGATCGTTGACAACGAACTACTGAGTATATTAGAAGTCTTATAACAACTTCGTACGTGATCATATGTTTTCGTATTCAATAAGGGGAAATATGATTGTAATTCTGGGCCATATAATCAAGAGGGAAACAGCTGATTTTGTGACTTCTTTGACTTTGACGATTTATTTGGTATTAATGATTTAAAATGGTTTTCTTGACTTCCAATATTTTGAAAACCATCAAAGTTATTTGTTCCAAATGCCGCTTTAAATTTAGATATTTTAGAGATGTGTTAGCAGCGAAATTAGTCACAATTTAAATCTTTAATATAATCAAGTATTGAAAGTTACGATAAGAGAGCTTTTGAATAATAATAAATCGAGAAAATACCAATTATTTTAGCATAATTTTATTTATATAAGTAATAAAAAAGAAAAGTAGGCAACAATTTTCAAGTTCATTATATATATTTATTTTATCGAGAAACTGATCGTAATCGATCGTTTGATAAAGATTGTTTTCGTTTAAAAATATCCAATAGAATACTTATTTGTGTATACATTTTTCGTTTCTGCCAATTTATACTTCAAAATATCATCAAGAATTGGCAGCTTTCACCGAATCAGAGATTCGAACATCAGCAAAAGAATCACGAGTAATATCGTCGATATTTTTAAATACTTAAGTGATGGCTGTTATTAACTTCGTCATCGTATCCATTAAGTTGTCATAATAATACGTATTGTCAGATCCAAAATCTGATGGTATGCCATTTAGAATAGACCTATCAGTTGTATTTACTGTCACAAGCATACGAGACATGTCGTTGGTATACCGATTTTCGAGAATGACTATACCATTGAGATAATTGCAGAGTCTGTTGATTTGTTAGCCTGTTTACGGTACTTTTGATGAACTAAAGTTGTTAATTTAATAACTAAGCCATTAATCTCATTTTCACTGAATGACAGAAAAGTTAATAATAGATAATAAATGTTCAGATGTAGCTCTGTCAGAGCGCAATATACTCTCATACATTTGAGAATTGAAAAGAAAAATTTGAAGAGCGACTATCAACAAATTTTCTTCGCATATCAGAAGAGTGAGATAAGTTAGTTGGTGAGTGTTGATTCTCATTGACTGAAATGATATGTCTGTGATGAAATATTGTTTTATTGATTTTTTATTGATTTTGAGACAGGGAGTCATTATTTGAGCGTTTAGCAAAAATTTCATAAAAATCATATTCTGTCTTTGTGAATAACTAAACCTACCACATGCGGCACAAAAATAGAGAAAGTCATGCATGATACAGTCAGTCCGCTATGCTTAAGACTGTATCAAAGATGTCATAATTACAGAAAGAATGCATTTCAAATACAGGCCCATAACATGTGAGTCAGGTATTTGTTTGAATGACACTTGTACATCGTTGTTAGGTATTTTTTTTCTATGCAGAAACTTGTATCGATCATGAAGATAATTATCAGAGTTTGCTAAGCCATGTTTGAGTTTATTATTGTTGACTATCATTTGTGATAAAATATTGAGTGAAATGTGTTGTTTACCAATCTCCATAGTAACAGTGGACGATAGTAAACGATTTCGCAAGTTTGTGCATACATATGAGCAGATTTTTGAAAGCAAACTACCAATTATCTTAAGTAATGACATGAAAAAGCCTAAGATAAGTTTCGTAAGCTCGAGGAAGAAAAGAAGTAGAAGACTTTCCTATGTCTCAGTACAGATTGTTTCATAAGTACACTCAAAAGCATCAATTTATTTATAGTGGGAAACTAGTCTTTTAATTCAGCAAGAGATTGTATTTAACAATATTTGAGAACAGGAAGTCCACCGAGTAAGGGATAATGAAAACATAACGAATATATTGGTAGGAACATTATCAGTTAGTTTACGAATTACAGTTGTGTAGTTTATCAAGCAAAAGACAATGCTTGTATCATTTAAACGAAAATCACCTTCTGTGATACTCTGTGTGTCCCTATCTATAGATGACTGAATACAAGAAACCGTTGGTATAGCATCAAAGCTGTTCATATGAATGAATTCATATGCATTATGAACTGTAATTATATACAAAGATGTAGCAAATCTTTGCAGTTGTACATTCCAGTCATATACATTTTTTGGACATGACCAATTTCGCATGATATTTCAGTTAGTACAATCAAAAAGGATAGACTAGTGTTAGTAAATGAAGATGCCTTGTGAAAAATAAAGCGTAGTTGTTTCAGTTGTAATAGTATAGTTCTTCTTTGTGTCGTTTTTCGATGAGATGATGCTCTTGGGTGCTGTTATGATCATTGTTGCTGTCGTTTTGAGCAATTTAATGCATGATGTCCCTGTTCTTTACAATAAAAACATAATAAAATTTAAAGTAATCATCTTTCGTTGTTAGCATGTATAATTTGGTATTGGAAGACGAACTATTTACAAACAACATAACTTATGTTAATTCACCCATATCAGCGACTTGAGCTATACTGTTTCGAAATAAATGAATATAATTCTATAGTGAAGGTTTTTAACATAATTGTAATAATAGCTGCTGAAGGTGTTCTTGTAAATCGTTTGATTAATATGGACATTTTAATTTGTCCTTAAGTTCACTCCGAGATGATAGCTGTTGATTTTTCAATTTGAAATTTATGAACCATTGTAAAGCAGCATTACCTAATAAACTCAGAGCAAGTGAGATTTTTTCATCGTCGTAAATCAATCGACTGATCATGACTTATTCTAATGCTCATAACCAAGCAATGGCATTTTCTGCGCTGGCTCCATGGTATATACTTTTGCTTTAACATTGGACTGGTTAGCTGGTCGTGATGATAAATCAATCAATGTATTAGCTGTTGTTGCTGATGACGATTGCATTGGTGGTTGTGCTAAGATGAAAGGCTGTTAGACATGTAATTGTTTCCGTTATTCTTGTATATTCTCGACAATGATCATATTCATTTGAATAATTCGTTCCAATAGTCTTTCAAACTTAGCACTTTCAGTTGGTATGTGAGATGGGTATGTATGTTGCTACCAAATGCTAACTTGAGCTAGTACTCCTTTTATCTCTTCGATAAAAAGGATTACAGAAGAACTAACTATTGCAATTGAAACAACCACGCTATCTTTTTTTTATAAGGCGCCTTCATTTACTAACACTCGGACTATTATTCTTATTATCTTTTCTTAGGTAGAATGTAATAAGTGTATTAAATAGAAAACATTTGAGAAGAAACTCTTGAGGAATTGTCCAACCATTGGATCGGCATCGATTTATACAAGTTGTAAGTGTTTGACTCATTTAAATTTCACAAAGCGAGCATCAATGAATGGACATCCATGCGAATGTCACATACAATTTGAAATCTGCCATTTTGAAGTTGAAGACAAACTTCTTTTTTAAAGTTCAGTTAAGTCGGCAGAATCGTATTTCATTAAGTCAAATATACAACATTAATAGATAATAAAGCTTGTACAAATCTTATCCTTTGAAACACGAACATTTCTCTGACAATCATGCCACTATTTTCACGCACAAAATCATAAAAGATATCGTCATAATATGAGAGAATATCGTCTGATAGAGCAATATACGTGTGTTAACGCGTAAGTCTATGAGATTTGATATTAGTTTGAAGAAAAAAGAACGATTACAGAACGTGTAACCCTGTAAGAAGATACAGAGAATTCTTATTCCCACTTACAAGCTAAGTGAAAATTAGCAAGTGTAAGGAATAATATTTAAGCCAATGCTCAAAATACCCAGCTAGGCATGATCCAGCTCAAAATCACTTTTGCTCTGGACCGGCCAAGCTGCTAGCCCCAAACTTTATTTCTTTTTTTTCGAAAGAAATATAACTTTGCTAGTGCCATTCAAAGATAGGTCAGGCATGAAGAATTCTTAACTTGGGCCGGACAATTAAAAAGTAGTTCGATTTCGGGACTCAGATAGAACAGCTGTATGCTGCGCAGAAGATGCAACATTCAATCATTAGCCTTTAACGTTGTTATTGTTGCTTTTCTTTCGTTTTATATTTAATAGATGAAATTGCGAACGTGTGAATTTTAAAAAAAGTTTTGTTTACAGAAAATAAACTAACAAAAGCTGAAATAAAATAATTGGCATAAACAGATTTGTTGCAGTAGATGAGAGTAAGTTAAATTTCTTCTCACAGAAATCAAGAGCCAGAGATACTTGTGTTTGATTTGAAGTTAAATTTGCTCCGTAATTTTGAAATGAACAAAATCGTGGCCATTTGTTAACCACATTAAATGTACCATTACCAGGACTAAGGAAAAAACTAGTTAAAATGGAAAATATACTTAGACAAAAAAATTTACCATTCTGTATAACCTGGTCGTTGGGATTGTAAATGAGTAATAATATAGTAATTTTCTTTGACATTGCCTCGTATAATACCACATCTAATCCATAAACGTACAGCATTTAATGCCTTGTCATTTGGAGGTGCTACTGTAAAATTGCCAATGATACAAATACCTTTAAAATAAAAATTACATGATTGAAACAATAATAAGCGATGTAAGAGTCTTTAGAAACCCGTTCAACGTTATTTTGGACTGACAGACACATGTTTGTATGAACATTTTTCATAACAGCTGATAGCTTGCAGAGCTCTTATTCTAATAATGTGTTATAAACTTTTACTGTTCATTCATAACCAAAATGACATGTGATGGATGAGAATCATTGGCACAACGTATTTGCAACTTCTACTATAATTCTTTTAAGCATTCCATAAAAACTACGGTAATGCTATTTTAAAAAGTAAAACATTCTACACAGTACGAAGTATATGTATTAAAAAAATATTTAAAATGTGCAACCACAAAAGATCAGTCTCGAAGTGCTCATACCGTCAATTCATTCATTAAAGCTTTGAATTATACTGTGAAATGCGTGGACAATCGGTTTGATTTAAGTCAACATAAAATAGTACGACGACGTTGAGTACACCAGTCAACAGTTTCACGCAAACTTCGATAATGAACATCAGATATTATAAGAAAACGTCGAAAAACTACAAAAATAGATAGTGAATAACAAAACATTCAAGTACGAAACAGTTGTGGAAAAGTATATTGAACATTGTTACATGTATGTAATTGAATTATGGACTATGAAAAATACTTCAAAGCGACAAAAACCAACTTCATCAGAAATCGCTATTTTTATTCAACCGATATAGCTACAACTTTTCCGCACATCAAGTTTCAACAGAAAGCAAAATTTGAACCGAATGCAATAATTTAGATGGCTATGTTATCGAAGAAGGTTTCTAATGTCTATGTTCACAAGGGCAAGTAAGTTATCGATCAAGAAATATATTTAAAAGGATGTATTATTAAAAGTATGTCGTCCTCTATTAATAAATATCATTGAGATGGAACTCATCTGTTTTGGCTCAATTTAGCAAGGACTCATTATTTAACTATCATTCAAGAACGTTTGAATGAGACAAACATACATTTATTTCTCGTACTGATAATCCACCAAACTTGCCCTAAGCTCGTCTAATTAAAACTTTATGAACTGTAATTAAACAACGAACATATATGAAAACAATTCGGAAGCAAAAAAATGTTGATTATTCGGCTCAGAGAATCAAACAAACAGCACAAGAAATTGATCAGGAAATGTTACAAGCCATGATGAAGGGCATTTAGAAGAAGCTTCAAGCTATATGATGAGATGGATCGTATTCAGTTCTCGAAGTACAATTCTTTTTGCAGTAGTTGGCATGATCTTTCTCATCCAAAAAAATAGTTTTTTATCTTCTAGAATAGTTGAATTATACAGCTCAATATCTTTTCAATGAATTTTGCATTACCTATTAGATAAAAACTATTTACCATATGAGTTGTCATTCCATCCAATTGAATGAGCAGCTTGACGATCCCATCCTCGACCTTCATAAACTTTTCCATTTTCACCAACTAAAAAATGATAACCTATATCTACCCATCCTTGATCAAGTTGATGATAGTCTTGAACAGATTTTACTCGTTGAATACAGGATATATCATCATAGCAACTATAAAGAATGAACTTAATTAAATTATTTTACATAGAAGAGATCTACTTTGGAGGTGAATAAGTGTGATGAATAACATAAAATGAGAGTGGTTTTTCTGTTAGATTTGTTATTGAGGTTGGTTCTCGTGCGCCCCATCCAGCTCGGTCAACGAACGATACTTCATCACAGGGTGATTGACCATTAACAGAAGTGATAAACAACAGATAAGTAAATAAACTTTTCATATTTCTTCAATGTAGAATTTAGATAGTCAAATATTAAATATTGAATATACTTGAAGTTTATTGTTTATTTTTCCCTTATCAACTTTTGAATCGATAGAAATAAAAACATTCTTTACAGTTTTTCTTTATGTTTTTCATAATTTCATACTACGTTATAATTAAACATTAAGTGTATACGTATAAAAGAAATAGTTAGATCCAATCAATTGTGTTTGACACAACACAACATATAAATTAGTAGTTGACAGACCTGAAAGAAGAAGTAATCAAATTGCTAAAAATCTTCCAGTGTATATGACGAAAGAATAATTTGTTTTTAAGAGCAGACAGTAATTGAAAGTGTAGTCAAAAGTTTTTCATTCTTTTTAGTAAATTGATATTATTCATATAAAGTACATACGCAAAATAGTAAATTGAAATATGCAATTGAATACATAATCATTATAGATATCGTCTAAAGAAAATGACTCAAATTGCGTCGAAGACATAAAAAATCATGACTAAGCATTTTATATCTTGCACTTTTTGCAAAAATAATAATAATTATGTCACGTTTCAGCTAGTAAAGTTGATTGAAGTATCGTTTTGTATATGTTTTGCTAGAATTCGACAAACTCTAGCAGTCTATGCATATCGAAAAAGAGTATTCTGACCCGTTTTTTTGACTACTAAAGTTGAGATAAATTAGAAAGACAAATAAAAATTTACCATGTTTTGTATTCAACTAGAGTATACTTAAGTTTGAATAACTCAACTTTATCAACTGATTTCTTCAGTAATGAAGCTTGGAAAGATTATTCGCCACTTTACTATATAGCGACCAAATTCTTAAAAGATATATAACTATTACGTATCGAGAAAGTTGATAAACATACAGAACAGAGATATGTATGGAAACTTTTATAGTGATATACTTAATCTTCATAAATAGTCAGCTAATTGTTTATTGGCAATCTATCTTAGTCAATAGGTATTTAACTACAAACACTATCGAATAAATATTCAATAAATATTCATAACTATTCAATGAATATTGATAGTTATTTAATAAACACTCAGCTATTTATTTATTGTCGATTTTTTTGACTGAATAGTTATTTAGTTCCATGTGTTATGTAAAGATTCTTAGTATAAATATTCGTAGCTATTGAAATATCATTCAGATGCATATATATTGTAATTATTCTGTTTTTTTTTAGCCAGAAATGAAAGATTGCATATATGTGGATAAAGAAGACAAGAGAATATGAGGATATTATTCTTTTAGTTAAATTAAGAACTGCTGAAAGAAAATATTGATCGTTTAAATTAAGTCGAAAAAAGATAAGTTTAGGAATGGTTCTAAAACGATACCTTAGTTAGAATAGAGATTGCAGACGTAAGAGGGAAGGATGCACACACACGCTCTAACCTTTACTTTGTAGACAAGTGTCTTCAATGAATTTTCATCGACAATATTGTAAATCCATTGAATATAAATTTTAAACAATGGAAATTGTTTAATAGCTTTTCCAATTTTTTTTTACAACAGGTTTTTACCGATTATTGAGCACGTAATCAGTGTATTATACATCAGAAGTTCTATTTAAATCATCTTTTTTTGTTATCATTTATGTATTAAAAAATCAATCCAATTAAATTCAATCACGGCCAGCATCATCTTTTCTTTTTCTTTTTTATGAAAATAAAACTGTTATCATGTCACCGTCTATTGAATTTCGGCATGCATAATCAAACATTCGATAATAAAAAAAAAGATACAAATGACTTTCGACTTATAGTGATATTAATTCATAATTTAAATGACGAATCAATACTGTTTAGCCTTCATAAAAAAAACTGAACACGTTCTGTTCTCTGATTTACATTATGTCCACTAATCATATTGTGTAACCAATATGTCCTAACCACGCTTTCTATGTCACAACTGTCAAAAATATATCATAATTTATTTTTTTCTTCTTTGCTTCGTTAGTTGATTTCTGATGATGTTTCGCATCATTAAACAGAATATGACCATACTTTTCCACCAATTGAGATTTAACTATCAAATATATCCATAAATGGTCTGTGTCTACAATACAGGGCTATGCAAAAAATATTCAGAATCATAGTTCAAAACTTCTATTGACAAAAACTACAAAACAGCATATCATTCTCGTTTTAGTTTTCGTCTTCAATTAATCTGTTTCCAATTATTTATTCAATACTTTTTTATGCTTCAAGTTGATATTGTTCTCATTCAACAATTGTAATCATTTGATTGATACATACTCCTGCGAGTTTCATCGTGAACTTCCATTCGCTATTCATGTATTATTATCTCAAAAACAACACCAAAATAAATTTCTAGCTACGTATAACCAATTTCTATGATTATGAAACAAAAAGATCTAATAATATCATATTTAAAAATGCAAATAAAACGTTTAGATTCATCAAAAATACTTACAAGAATGATTACTAAAATCTAATGAAACCAAAGCTCAAATGATTATCATATCTGATGATGATCATTATTATCATTCACATATGAGAACTCCATGAAATGAAAATTCAACTAAATATATCTGGAAAATATTTTTGAATAAAAGAATTGCCAATGTAAGAATTGTTTGGATAAGAATTTTGTAGAATACAATCAGAAGGTTTTTTTATTTCTGCTTTTGCCATCTTCATTAAAAACAGAATTTTCAATTGAACAATACGACAAGATCTTATCTAGGATGTATGCGTCGTTCGTTTCTAGTTGTTCATTACATCATTCAATCATATCATTTAGTATAAGTTTGTCCTGTTAGCTCAAATATTTTTTTGATTCTTATATTTATGTCGATTTCTATCAAGTATCTAATGATATTTGTCATGTAGTTGCCATTTTGATGTTACTCAAACTTAGACATTCAAAGAATTTTTATAAAGAAATAAAATGAATTGATTATTGACTAATAATTGTACATAATAATAGTTGTATTCATATTTTAAAAAGGATTTGTGGTATAAGTTTAATAGAAAAAGTCGACCGAAATATCAAAATTATTGCAGTTAAAGAGATTAGTACCATTGAATAGCTGAAATTTTATATTACTATTTGTTTTTTATTTTATATATTTAGTACAAATAAAATAAAATATGAAATTAAAATTTTTGAAAGTGATGATCTTTTTTCTTCAATACAAAAATTAAAGAAAGATATTTTCTTCTGAAAGAGTAACTGATTTAATTTTCAACACCAAATTAATCATCTAGTTCTGTATATATTGATATGTAAGAATTTTTAACTAAGACAATACCACAAAAATATTATTTATGTCATAACAACAACGAAATAATCATAATATGACCGACCGTTCGTAGAATATAAAATTGTGTTGACCCGTCATACATTCTGTTCTAATCGTGTGCAATAAACCATTCATTTTTTTTTGTCGTTCTCTTTACCGTCATTTTTTTTCCTTTAACATGTACACATAGTCAATCATTATAACTATTCTTTTTTTGTCATCGTATTACTTTATTCTAGGTATCACGTTTTTACTCAAGTAACAAAAAGCTGAAAATAAATTTATTAGCTAATACATTTGTTTTTAAAGTGAAACAAGTTAATTTAATTTATGAAACTCAATATGATCGAACGTTTAGTACATTCATTTGATCGTCGTTCACCACTTAAACGGTCTCGACGACGTTTATTCTACCGTTCGTTTATTAGTATTATATTCATTTTTATTAGTTCACCTTTTCTTATTTTACTCTTGCATTCTATTTCAATCTTTCGATTAAGCCATTCTGAGTCTCATTCATCAAATATCATCATATCATTAACAAGTAATCCTGCCAGATTTCATTATGAACTTCCATTAGCTATTCATTCATTATTATCTCAAACAAAACTACCAAAACAAATTCGTATTTATTTATCTCCTACATTGGAAATAGTTAAACAAACAAATTTAACATTAACACATTTGAAAATGTATCTACAACGTCTCGACTCATCAGAAACTGTTGCCAAATTATTTGATAGATTAGTACAAATTCTATTAGAATATGAAGATTATGGTCCAGCGACAAAATTTCTTCCGATTATTAAAGAATTTCATTCTAAATCACAAGCAATTATGGTTTGTGATGATGATTTTTACTATCATCCATTTACGGTCGCTACATTATATGAATATTCAGAAAAATTTCCAAATAGTATTATTGGCTTCAGAGGTTGGCGAGGTAAAAAAAGATTTTTCTTTCAAAAAGAGAGGTTCAATACACATGATTTTCTTGTCATTTGCTTCAACGTTTTAGTTCGTAAAGATCTAACTTGGGGTGTAGGTGGTAAATATGAAATGGCTTATCATATAATCGAATCACATTATCTTTCTGACGTTTATCGTGTTGGTGTCGTCACTGCTAATGCTGCTTATCTAATTCGTCCATTATTCTTTGATGTTCATATGCATCTCTATTTCGATCAAATTCCTAATGATATTCGTCGTGTTGATGATATTTGGTTAAATGGTCAAGCATCAAAAAGACATGTAGCTCGTTATGTTGTTCCATCATGTTGTCCACATATTAGTGTTACTCGTACTCATGTGCTTGAAGAATATTTAGGAAAAAATAATATGAGTCGATTATCAGCTAATAGTCATGCATTACAATGGTTTAGTGGACATTGGGAAAAAAACTTATGGTATAAATTTAATGGAGAAAATGCACCAAAATATAGAAATTGGTGGATGATGATTTATCGGGAATGGATTAGTATGATTTTAAATGTTAAGTTTATTATTTATTTTGGTTTTATATAAAGAAAAAAAAAGCATCAGGACAACATCCTGATTGTTTAAACTGAACAATCTCCTTAATTAAAATAAGGAGATAAATAGTTTTAAAATCGTATTGAATTTGAAGCAAAATTAATTGGAAATTGTGATGATATCGGATCAAATGAAGATGTTATATAAGCATGAAGATTTGGTCTTAAATTTGGTATACAAATAGCATAATTATGATTAAGAACAGGACGAAACCAAAAGAAAGGTGTAGTGATATAACGTACAGATGATTGTTCATTATTATCTATTTGTGATATTTTTTCTGGATAGAAATAATATTGATTAATAGGATTAGCATTATTTTCTGTAATATGTCTTGAATATGGAAGCCATGTTGGATTATCATTGAATCGAACATTTTTTATTGGTTGTAAATGTTCATATTCATATTGTTGATTTTGAATAGAATGTTGAGACCAATTTGATGTTGAATCATAATCATGTGGAATATCCATTGATACAGCTAGTTCATTAAGTCTGTGAACATGATAACGTGGATATGTCGACTGATCGTTTGACATTGATTGCTGATCATTATTGGAATTATTATAATATTGTGTTGTTTGTTTAGCTATTGGATAGAAAACTAAGTATTCAAAAAATAAAAAAATAAACGCACAAATAAATAACATGAAATTTAAAGACTAAACGAACGGGTATTGCAAAAGTTCTTGCACAAATATAAGAGTAAATTGTACTTGAATATCAAATACTAGAGTACCTATTCTTACTTTTGTTTAATAGAGCGTAATCATCAAATGTCAAATGTAATAATTTGCAGATTACTCTTTATGCACTGGTCACAAAAGTGGTTTGACTTTTGTTCAATTTAACTTTCGCTTCGTCCGAAAAAAGAAACAATATCTTGGTTTATGACGTAACTTTCTAGGCTCACATTTGTAGATGATATAAACAATTTTACTAGCTCTTGCTATGCATAAAAGTCATAGTATAGAGTACGACTATAATTCTATTTGTTTCTGAAAGAATACTGTTTTTTTATTACTTATTGTATCTCTTTTTTAAAAGCAATTAAAACAAGATTGACTACAATGAGAAAACTACTTTGAGGCTGAGAAGAATATATTTTTAAAAAAAAGTTAATTCAAATGTTTGCTCGAGACCATTACGATAGGTGAAATTTTCTGTTGCATAAAGTTTCACAACTTATATCAATAAAAATTTTAAGAAATCAAATCTTTGTTGAAAGATAAGTATATTTGAGTTAGTTAAGTAAACTTTAATCAAATATACAATCTAGACAAAATTTTACTTTAAAAACGCAGGACCTCGTTTAGGTATATAATTTGTTTACTACTTAAAACTTTTACCTATCTACTTTTTCGTAACTTTGAAAACATGAAGAATATATTATTATTAGTATATAACTATCAATGGACGAAACGTGTGCTTTTTACTTAGAAATGACGCTCTATCTGATAAACAAAAAGGATGAGCCTTGTAACGCTCCGGTGTTTTATTCAGATTTTATCTTCAAGAGGAGAGAACATTTATTTTTCGAGAGTACAACTACACAATACATGGCATACTAACCAAACTTCGAAAGGTAGTGCTCCTTCGAAGATTGAGTTGTCCCTTCTGGACTTGTCACTCGTTGGTCCGAAAAAGAAAATCTGAATAAAACACTACAAGCCTATTTATATTCACTTACTATCATAATCAGTCACTGTATCAATAATGACGTCATAATACATGGGAATAATATTTGTATTTGTTGGAAAGCCAAGTTGAACATTTGGATGAGGTTGAGACAAAACATCATCGATTCTAGTTTCTTTATTAATCATAGTTTGAGATGGTATCATCATCATATGATTTTGTTCATTTCTCGTTTTCATTGGTACATATGAAATAACATTTGATGGTGCATTTAAAAATGAACGTGCAATGTCTCGATCAAGTTTAGATATAGAGGAATACATATGAAAACGAACAACTATCAATTGTGAAAGTTTTATATATAGAATGACTTATTTATAGATCAATAGATGATTTGTCGAAATGTTAATGTTTTGTTCCTTCTTTTTAGATAATCGTTGTGTTTTTTATTTAAACAAAAAAAAATTATAAAATTATGTAAATCGAATATTAGATGGTAAAGCTAAAAATAGTTCATGACTTGAATCCATTAAAATAGAACCATCCGCATTCGATAAATTAATATCTTTAATTATATTACTTCCACTATCATAAGGAAATGGCATTGTTGGATAAGGGAAATTAGGTGGTTTTTCTGGTAGTGCAGGTGGAGGTGGAGATGATGATGATTCTTTATTTGTTTGACGAACACGAGCAAGTGAATTATATTTTCTATCATCATCTGTTGAAAATGCTCTTTGACGTGGAATACATTGTAAACTGTTTTCAACATTCTATGAAAATAAAGAACTTTAAAAAAATCTTTCTTTGTTTATTAGTGAACTACTTACAACACTAAGAGCTCGTTGTCTTCTATAATCATGTCGTTTATTAGTTGCTGATGAACCTGAACGATAGCCTTCATCAGTTGTAGTTGTTGTTGTTTGATCATCTTTTTTAGATCTACCTTGGTCAACACTATATGATCGTTTAAAATATTTAGATCGATCTTCAATAGCTGTTTGAGCTTTTGAACTTCGTGACCGAACACGATGTGCTGAAATATTATGAGCAGATGATACAAGAATATGACGAATTTGCATATCAAATGATTGTAAAAACATATGACACTTTGCAAGAATCATTCGAATTTCTGATGATAATGATGTTAGTGGTGAAACAACAAATTTAAGTGGAGTATTTTTTGGAATAACAGCAATATTTGATGATGTTAATGATGCGCATACAGCTAATTCATCAGAACGTGAACCGAATAATTGTAAATTACCACTAAAACCTTTATATGCATATGAACCTTTATAAAAAGAAAAAAAAGAACAAACTAGTAATAAGATTCCATTTAAAATAAAAATCCCACCAGGTAATTGAGCTAATTTAATATTTATTGGCATTGGAAATTGTTCAATAAGATTATAAATTGTTTGTAATTTATTCACATTACTTGAACCATGTTGACCAACAGGAATTAAATTAACTTCATCTGTTGATGAACATGGAATATAACATTTTTTTCGTTCTAATAAAGTACACTTTAATGCAAATTCATTTCGATTTAATATTTGTCTACCAAAACAAAACCACCATGAAAATGCATAATCATCATCTGTTAAATTATCATTTACTGTTGGAGTATATTCAACATTGACAAGCTTATTGAATAAAATTATTTGATGAGCCTCAACATTATGCCATACACGATTGAAAACAACATTATCGTTAGTTTCAATTGTATAAACACGCATAGGTGATGCTATATAAAATGCTTGAGGTCGATGATCAAGTTGCATTCTTTCAACAATCGGTTGAATATTCTTTTCAGGAACAACACCAGTCTGTTGTCCTGAAATAAAGTATACATTAAACAATTGAAAAATTTATTAAAATAGTAATAATCTTACCAATGTTATGCGATGGTAAACACTCAAAATATCCTAGTTTTAAAAAGTGAAGAGGTGTAACAAACATATAAATAACTCACCAGGATATTTCAAAGGTATAGCAACTATTTCTGAATCGATTGGTGTATATGATACACATCCGTTTCTTGCTGATTGACTATCTCTCAAAGCAAGTCCGAAGGCAAATGTAACGCGCGATATAGAATGCAAAATAATTGGATTATTCGAACCGCGAAAACCAGTTGCCGATCGAATAGCTACTGGTAAAGTATATTGAGCTGCAATGGATTGTATTGATAACGGTCGTGATGTCCACTCAAAGGACATTTTTTTGAAAAAATATGTCGAAAAAAATAACTAAAATATATCATATAGCCTTTCATGTTCATGGTCTGTTTTTTCCTACCTAAAACAAGAAAAATAACAGCAAAAAGAAAGAATATGTATGTGATGATAGGCGTTTAAAACTAAATATCACATCTACTAATGAAAAGAAAGCAAAAACGTAATATGGCGTGAAAATGAGTAAAAATATTTTTTTTTGACTTTGCCTATAGATATAATATATATTCTTATTTCTGTTACAGTATCATCATATTACGAGAAAGAAAAAAATCAATTTTTATCTGAGCATTGACCATATTATTGTGTACACACCTGAACATATTGCAATGTATCTTTCTTCTTGCATCAAGATACATACTTGATCAATCAAAGTCGAAGAACGAGAAAAATATTTGATGTTTTAAAAAATAACGATAACATATTAATCATGCTTGAATTACGTCAATGAAAAATTTATATTTGTAAATAAATATTTTCTTATAAATTTTTGACGTATATAGACGTTTTTGCTTCGTTTTACATGAGTTAAAGAGATAAGCGTTGAAAATTGAGATGATTGTGATCGTTAATTAGCTCATCTGTCGTAATAAAATAATAATTATTTACTCAGTCAAGAGTGTCAATATATCTGCTCTTTGACATAACTACTATATGACAGATTTTGTTTTGCAATAAATCAATCGACATTGACAAAAACAACAATTAAAGGTGATTCTAAACACTTTCATAATTAGTTTAATATACTAAGTGTTTCTTAAAAAAAAAGAACATAATCGAATCAGATTTACGATCAATGTACTATCTATGAAAAGTGCAGCAGATTCTATATTCTTTTAATTTTTTCTTAGAGTCTTCATTTTTCATTCCGACATCCTTTTTTTGTTCGATCGAACGAAAAAATATATGATATTTTGTATCAAGAATTTGGTTTAACAGAAAAAAAATCATATTAGATAAACAAGAAATTCATTTATCATTAGAAAAATAATCAATTACTAATCATTCATTTCATATTCATCGTGATGATTGTCTAAACTTCATAAAAAATATTTCAAGCTCACAATAAACATTATCAACTTATCTATTATCAAAATATTACTTATTCAAACAATTCATTTCATAGACATTATCAATTAATAAATAATAATATATACAATTGTACGCAATTCAATATTACTCCAATGGCATCGTTATGCTTCTTACCCATTTTGTTTCTTTTAAAGAACAAAGATCCATTTCGAACTTTACTTTGTTGCTATCAGAAGTATCATTAAAATGAACTATGTTTCAATCGGATGACAATAGAATTAATTGAGGCAAAAGAAAAGCTATTCAATAAAATTGATTAAAATCAGCATTCTATAGTTCAAACATTTAATCATCGTCGTCGACCAACATATTGTATTTACGTAAAATCATATTTAACAACTTAATAGCTTATTTGTTTATAATAAATAGTCGCATATTGAATTGCGTGAAAGTCTTGCTACTCAAATCGATGCTTCAGAATCCTGTATTCAAATATTTTATATATTATAATTAATTGTTTTAAAAATATTATTTATTTATAGGTTTAATTCACAAATTAACGAACATATGCACGTATAGTCCAACGTCAACAATTTAAATTATTAGAATTATAATCCTTTTCTTTATTAAATAATAAATGATTCATTCCATTAAAAAACAATACAAATTAAGACATTCAGATAAAATTTATAAACTTACTGAAGTATATTACATGTCTATGGAATATCTCAGAAAAAATGTATCAAAAATAGAACCACTAAAAATTTGTTATCATGATAAAAGGTAATATTTTGATTCACGGATAATAAAAGAATGTAGCAATACCTACAAATTAGTTCATTACTCATATTTCTGTTCAATAAATAGTTTAAATGTTGTCTACTTCGTATGAATTGAAGTTATTGCTGTGTTTTTATTTCTTATGTCATGAAAATGTACGAGTACGAATTGTTCATACACATGAAATTAAGATAAATTGTGTATCGAGTTCCAATAATAAGAATGAATATAGCTTTGACACGCTCGCTTTTATTTCTCATAGAGAAATAAGATAAATGTTAAATTGAACAGTAAACAGAAGAAATCGACTTGACGGTTAGGTCAAAGCCATTTAAATCATTAGTCTATATTAAGTTTCATTATTATAATGAATAATATTTATTGTCATTGTATGGTAGTTATTCTTACTTTTGAAAATTCTGTTGATTTTATTTATTTAAAAACTACCGTTGTAGAATTAAGAAAGGAATTCATTACATTTCATATGACAAAATCAAAACTAAGGTTTTTTGCACATGTACTATGTATTTGACATCCATTGGAATTTCTTTTGTTCAAAAAAAACAACACATAACAAAATATAAAAATACTACATAAGTTTTTCTAGAACCTTTTGAAGGGCATTATCGATTTGTATCACATCTGGATGTTTAGATGGTAGTATATCATGATAGATGCTGGCGGCTTCTTTATAATATATCGATGATTGTTCAAAATCACTTTGTATTTCATACACAAGACCAATATTTTTGTAAACATTAGCAATGGAAATATGTTTTGGTGGAAGTATTTCACACTTAATTGAGAGTGATAGTTGATAATGTTTCAGTGCAAGATCATACTGACCAAGATAACAATAAACAATACCAATATTATTATGAGATTTAGCTGCATTAAAAGGATTAGATGATGAATTTAGATCATCTATTATTAATGCTTTTTCATAGTATTCTAATGCTTGAGAATATTTGCTTTCTCGTCTATAAATAGAAGCAATATTGTTAAAAAAATTAGCCATATGTGGATGATCTTCAGCATTTGCTTTTTGATATTGTTCAATAGCTTTCTCATAAAATTCTAATGATGTATTATTATTTTTCTTATGTGAATAAGCTTCGCCCATTGAACCATATATATTTCCAAGACCAATGAAATCTGATGGATTTGTTTGTAAGCGCACTTCTAATGATTTTTGATACCATTCTAAACTAGAATCAAAGTTCTTTTTTTCTTTGTTCGCATTACCAAGTGAACAGTATAAATCAGCAAGTGATGAATCATTTGATGGAACTTCATCAAGCAAACGATGATAAATTGTTTCAGCCATGTCGAATTTACCCAGTCGTTGCAATACATCACCAAAACCTCGAAGACCAATTCTATCATCTTCATTTTTGTCTTCATGTATTCTTTTTCTATACTCGAAAATACGTTTTAAAGCAGGTTCATTATCACCACAAAGTTCCATGTGAATTTTCCATATCTTTCCTTGTTGTTCAACTGTAATTAAACGAAATATACAACCAACCATAAATAATATTTCTGTTTCTTCAATGAAACTATTGAATCTACTAATGTCAGTGAATGGAGTTTTTCTTGCGATAGTCGGATCAGCATCAATGATAAATAAAACTGGATGTTCATAATTAGAAATCGTTCGCTTTGTCAGTACATCTAATACTTTATCCTGATTCATACTTGTTTGAAGAAATGTATTGATTGAAATATATCCATCTTTTGATTTTTTAAGGTATTCTATTTCACTGAGAGTCATAATTTCACCACGATAGACACGAATTGATGACATATATTGATTTTCTTTTAGTTGTTGATATATATCACGAATGATGAAATGAAATAATAGTAATTGATCAATATTTTGTTCACGTAAAACTTTGCTTAACATTCGATATAAAAATGATTCACGAATATACCATAATAAAGCTTTATTTGGTGTATATTCGTGTTTAAATTCACGAATCATGGTTAATTGCCATTTGTTACCCTTGTATTCTGTCTTACAGAGATCGATAAGTTGTCGTTGATCTTTTAGATTAAGTTCTAATCGAAGAAGATTATTGATTAGAACATATGAATAAATAAAATTTTCATTGAGTGCAATTGTAGATTGATCTAGATTATTCGAGGTTATGTACATATTAAATGAAATTCGTTCTTCATTTTTTACTCGACATCTTTTATCTGATTTGATTCGAGTAATTAAATTTTCTTGATGAATAATTACATCTTTGATCTATATTGAGGAAAAGAATTTGAAAAAGAAAATTAGAAAATAATGTCATACTTTCCTAAACTGCTTGGCCCATTCTTCATTCAATGTTTTATCGATACAAAACACGTAAACAGATAAAAGTTGTTTAAGCTGATGAAGTTTTGGAACGATTTCCCGACCTAATCTACCACTAACAATAAGAATAAGTCGATCTTTTTCATTTAGAGATTCAATATATTTTTTACATTCGTAAGCATCATCAAATATTTTAAAATGTTTAACTATTGAATGAAGCATTGTTACTGTTTTTTTATTATCATCTGTGGCATTGACATCTCCATCTAGCCAACAAAGTAAAAATGTTTCATAATAATTATCTGTCGTTGGATGAATTTTATGATTTAGAAAAGCCATGAATGACTATTTTGACCTTTGAAAACTAACAATTAAATAATCGTACTCATTTCTCTGCATGATTGTCGTCATAAGTTTTTTTTTGTCAAAAATAAAGAATTGTGCAAGACATTTTCTTTTTCTTTTCAGTTTTGGTTAAGTGGATGAATGCTGTTAGTTCGTTGCTTATGACAATAGTAAGTAATAAGAACGAGCAAAGCACACTTCCCTTTTTTTTTTGTAACATGCTTATGACTACTCCTTTGCTGTCTCTCGCTCTGAAAGCATTCGAGACAAAACAATTATTTCGCTCGAAAAAAAAACACTTTTTTTAAGTTGATGCTCGTAAAAATGTCATATTTACTCCGTTTTAAAGCAACAATAAGTAAAAATACTGCATATCAATCCACGAATAGTCCTACAACTTCACAATTTTTGACTATTAAATCCTTTAAAGCATTGATGAATAATGTTCATGCAACATTTTCAAAGATACAGTTTTTCAAATCAATAAATCTATTCCAAATAAATGCTCTCAGTACTGTCAGTGTATAATGTAATGCGCAATATTTTACACACTTTGAGTTCAAAAAGTACTTATGGTGTGTATCATTTATGTAAAAAATATTTTTCTTGATGAATTTTTTCTTTCAAAGAGTAATTCATACTATAATATTTTCAAACTACAATTATCATTTATTCGAAGACATGTTCGATGTCGGCCGTGTACATATCGAAACAAAAGAGTTCTTTGCCGAACTTCTGTTTTCGTTTCTATAATGAATAGTCGACTAATAGCTGACATAGAATCGTTTTATTTTATTTACTCAATTCGAACAATATTAAAAAAGGGTTGATTTGGACTTTGCTTGGAAGAAAAAAATGTCCAAGTTGAAATGGGTGTGAGACTCGAGATAAGGATGTTTTCCTCACACATCAACGCCTACACTTTGTATAATCGATATAATTATTATTTTATTCCAGTGGCTGAGCTTTCAATGGTGTGTCTTTAATTGTGATAAATCGATATTATGATTATCCAATAAGAACATTATTTAATGTTGATAAACTACGATAAAAGAAAACATTATTGCTTTTGTTTTTCATTCTCTCTTTTTTAATAGTGAACATTTAATTCAAATTTACTGATGGGTTTTTAATATTCTAAGCGAGAAAATATTTAGCAGTCATCACCTAAGTTTCTGCCATTTTTACTTCCGAGTGTTTTATCTTCAATATTTTTACTTTCAGCCAAAGTACTGAGAATCTTCACAAAAGATTCCGAAGAAAAGATAACTAATTATGATTCATACGTTGAAGATTTCTTGTTTCATCTCTATTTGATTTTGATTAACTAGAATGGTGACATATACTGAGTCCTTCTATTTTTGTCAAAAAACTTGTATCAATAAATAAATTATTTTGAATTTGTTTTGATTTTTCAATACCAAAAATACAGAAATTTGAGGAAGGTCTTCATAATATATTTCATATTGGGATCTCATTTATCGAATGATGACACTATTCACAAAGAAAACGATATTTCTCAATTTCTCAGATTTCTATAATTTCAGGAGTTTTACAACATTCCTTAAATGAGCAAAATACCACAGACAAAAAACAAGATATCTTCAAGATGGGAAATGGCAATATATTTAATAGTAAAATTGGATAATAAAGAAAAGTCTAATTCATCATTCTATGTATTAACAACATTATTCTATCTAAGACATTTGAAAATAATCTTCATTTTAGACACTTGAAAAAGTCTTTAGTTCTAGAACTAAAAAAAGAGCTCGATGCATTTCATATGACAAAATCAAAATCTAGAGTTTTCTAGACATTTATCATCTATTTTAATTCAATTAACATTTCTTTCCTTCGTGAAAAAAGTAACAAAATACAAATACATATATTACATTAGTTTCCTTAGAACATTTTAAATATCATTGTCAATTTGTATCACATCTGGATGTTGAGATAGTAATATAAAATAATAGATGGTGGCTGTTTCTTTATAATAACATCTGATACAATAGTAATGAGACGAATTTCTGACTCTATTCCTCTTCGATCGAAAGGTGTTGAAAGAAAAATTTATTTACTAGATGATAGAGAATTTTTTTCTCTTTCAAATCTTATATGACTTACTTTTAGCATTACGTTCATAAATCAACTGTCGCAATCGATAAAGTCAGCACTCTGAAAATGTGTCTGCACTTTTCATATAATGTAGAATTACGATGCAAACTATTAATTTTTATATCTCTTTAGTAAACACCTGTTGAAACAATAGTTTTATGACAGATAGTTATTTTATAAAGCAAAACATTCCATGAAAACGATTTATAACATATCAAAAAGTATTTGAAATATGAATGAACTAAATTTTTTATCAAGAAATGTTCGTCCAATAGAATTTTCTAATCAAATGTTAAATCAACTCATGAAATCTGTTAACAATCGTTGTGGTTTCAGTCAGGATAAATTTTCTAAATGTATCAACATCAATCAATCAGCAAATCAGTCGTAACTTACGAAATTGAACTGCAGTTATTGTCAGAAAATGCTACAAACATGGATAATAGAGCTCAATAAACCGAGCCAAAAAATGCGAGAAGCTATTTGTTGAAATGATTCTTGCTGATTGTGATGTCATTGTAGAGGATGAAAAATTCATTGAAATAAAACTAAGTTATATACAGTTCGAAATAAGAGAAAATGTTCTATCAATTGATAAAAACAGTACTTCAACAAGTATCTACTAAAGAGATATAGTAGTAGATATTTTGCATCGTTGTGTCACATTATATAGAAAGTGTAGCTGCATTTCAGGGGTGTTTTTTTTTTCAATCGGTTGCAACGGTTGATTTATGAAAGTGTGATAAAAATAAGTAATATAAGATTTGAAAGTTCTCTATCTTTTGATACATAAAGTTTTCTTTGAGCATCATTCTATCGAAGACAAACAGGGTTCGACATCAGTCCCATTATTTCTGCATGATATGTTATGTTTAAGTTTGTTGAAAATCACTTTGCATTTCATATATAAGACAAATATTTTTGTGATATTAGTGATTGAATTGTGTTTTGGAGAAAGTTTTTCATGTTTCATTGCAAAATAAATTTTTATCATCTTTTATCAATACTTTTTCATAGAAATCTAATGCTTAAGAACATTTGTTCTTTCTTTTATAAATATAAGCAATATTGCTAAAGAAATTAGTTATACGATGATGATTTTCAACATGCGCTGTTTAATATTATTTAATAGGTTTCTCATAACATTTCAATGATTTACGAATATTTTCATTACTCAAATAAGCTTCATCCATAGAATCGTATAAATTTGCAAGACTAATAATATATGATGCATCTATTCGTATAAGTACTTGTAATAATTTTTAATGCTATTTCAAACTAATTGGAACCACAGTTGTTTTTTCTTTATTCACTTTATTCAATGAACAATATAAATCAGACGCGACGAATCATATTATGAAGCTTCATCAAACGCATGATGATGAATTATTTTAGCTGGAACGAATTTACTCATTTCCTGCAATACATGATTAAAAGCTTGAAGATCGATTTCATTATTACAACCAAACTTTATTCGAATCATCAATATCTTTGCATCTTCGTGAAAATTGGTTTGAACAAAACATACTGAGTGTTTCAGACATAAACTTACGAAAAAAAAATGAAATATCTCCACCATATTTCAACGAAACGAATGAAGTTTTTTCCTCATAGATTATGTCTAGGACACTCGGTACATTCAATCATAAACTATATTTCTGTTACGTCAATAAAACTATTGAATCTACTAATGTCACCAAATGGTTTTCTTATTATGACACGAGGATTGACATCAAGAATAAACAAACCTTAATGTTCGTCATTAGAAAGAAAGTTCTTTTATTGACTGATCTTTTTAAATATTGCCGTCTGGTTAATGATGGTGATAACGAGGAAAAACCGAACATTACAGATAGTTAACTTAACTATTGCGAAACTTTCTATTAAGAGTTTTGTGAAAGATAAGATTTTCGTATTGAATATAGATTATATAACTTAATGAAATCTGAATTTGTTAGCTGTAGAATTCACAAGTTTACTGTTTTCAACTAAAGAGCTTATTGGTATTAGAAGGAGATGTAAAAAAAAAATAATGTTTTGTTTCTTTGTAGGATGAGTATTGATGGAACTATTGCAATATAGAACAATTGGTTAATGGATTTTTAAATTTTTAAAGTTTCTAAAAACTTTAAAAGATTGCATATAATTCAATGATTCATGAAGTTTATCGTTATCTTTTAATAAAACACTAATAAAAGAATATTTGTATGATGACTGATGAGTATTCCAATAGACGATTTGTTTCAAATGGTAAACATTGATCTCATTGTTATCTACTGTCGATCGACTTAATCTATATCTTCAATTTTTTCCGAATAGAATATTTGTTGTAATTTAAAGATTTGAATTATTATTATGCAATTATGATTATCGAACTGGCGAACAAATAATAGAGCCATCTATCGAAAGGTAAAAGTGACACGGAAATCTATGCTACTGTAATTGAGTCAGTTGATGTACAACCATATAAAAAAGTCGTTCGGATATATAGAAATCGAACCTTGTTTTATATTTGTTTTCACGCCTCACTTAAATTATCAATGAGCGTAATCCAATCGATGTGCGCATTTAATCTATCATCAAGTTGTTTTATATATAAATAATACTTCACAAATCTTATTGGTAACAACGACAATACAAGGTACTATATATAATTCTTCAAAAGCTAATGGAAAATTATTTTCATTTTAAAATGAATTTTATTTAGCTAATAAAAATGATTTATATTAATGATACGAAAACTGAATAAGAAATTATGATTATTTTCTTAAGGTAAAAAAACCTAAGTTTTTGAATCAATAATATATCAGTGTTTTGTAGCCTTCATTGAAGGTCTCTTCTCTTCCTCCATTCAAAAAAAAAATCGATTTTCGTCATGAAAATGATTTTTCAGATTATTATATGAGCATGTCGCCAAAGGTCCTAATTTACAAATATGTAGATTTATTATTGGATTTTGAAAATTTCTGACGAGTTTTTCTTAAATTCTAGAAATGACTGACGCAATTACTTCTTTTTTTACATTGCACAATCATTATGTACATATCACAGTAATCATAATAATTGACGCCATCTATTATTGGTTAGATAGCGACAAGCATAGTTTGATCGATACGCTATAATGAGCACTTACGATTGGTATATACTGTTTGCAATTTTAGCTTCATTTAAAAATAGTATTGAAAGAAAATATTTCTTCTATGTTTTCGTGCTGATGATCAAACTCTGAACAATTCTTTTTTTCAAATCTAGTTCATTATACAAAGCTGCAGTTTCTTTTTTGCTGGTGGAGACGGACTGATACTCCTTTGGATGACATGAAGGAATTTTTTGAATATACTGTAGTTCTATACAAAACTTCTGATATTTTTTCAAGATTTTACAGATTTCAATATCATCGAAACTTACAGAGAGCAACAACTAAAGAAATTCTCTCTTCTTATCTGAAGAAGCAAACAGGTATCTTTCAAATAAAATAATCTTTAGTTTTACATCTTGATGTCTAGGGAAAAAAATATTTTAAGAGCTGAGGATTCATTTCTGACCTTGATTTCTAGAAAATTCAAGGATACTAAGGTGTATAGAGGTGAACAAAATTTCATAGAAAGTTAAGCAAGTGATTCAGAATTTACTTAGTGTCTTTCTGCTTCTATAATCCAATCAATTTCCATAAATCTACGTTTACTTGAAATGAAACGTAGTGTTGATGTCAAATGTCATAATTGTGAATACATACATTGAATGTTTTTTCTATCACGAGAGTACGTGGTTACCATGTTTGATAATTTATTTTCCTTTCCATATATTGAATTACTTCGTTACATATTTCCTCATCATATGTAGAAAAACTTTCATTTAAAACGAATTTTCTTAGTAAAATAATATCATTTTTCGCTTCTATTCAAGAATAAAATTATAGACAAAATCCAAACTTACTCAGTTGCAGGATCCTAGTCTAAAAATCATACTGACACTGAACTGATAAGTTATCGCACCATGTCATCTGTAGAAAGTGACATTTGACATATTCAAATTTCAAGAAAGCTTCATTACACATCTTCTATGAGATATTAAAAGCTTAAAAATTAATAAAAGCCACTCATCGTGACAAGCCTATCGACAGACCAATTCCAACTCTGTCAGAAAGATTCCATGTATTGTATCGAAAGTCGATTTTGGAGGTCGGGAAGAAATCTTATTAGAAAAATTACTCACTTGAAAAGTTTTCGAGGCCAATATTATAACACTGATATGAATGAAACATAATTTACATCTCAAATCTTACAATAACTTCTATTTCTGATGAATAGCAGTAGGAAAAAAAAGCTTTAGTATTTCTAAATATATTATCAGTACAAAGACACACACATATATGAAATCAAACAATAAAAATTAAAAGAAATAATGTTTTATCATATACAAAGTAGCCTGTCTGTTGGTTTGGAATGTCGTCTGACTCGACGATAACCGACTGACTGACTAGAACAATTAAGAAATATTTGTTGTTATTTTGTTTTTTATTTTCAACACAAATGCTAGGATGATTGATTTTTTGGTATTAATAAATATTGTTCATCAGTTATAACAACACCTTTTGCTACGCATGTTCGATCACGTCCATCAATTAAACATGGCCATATATATTCAACAATTGTTTCACTTTCATTATCCGATGTATGAAAACGTTCATGAATTTGTTTATCATATTTTGTTATTTGAAATTCAATATAATACGGAGGTGTTTGATTAACAAGACCCCATCTATAAACAAAAAAAGAAAGCTTTAGATCAAATGATATTTTCGATATTTATTCGTACGCAGTTCGACATGCTGAATAAATATATTTGAGTAGTTCATTACAAGACTTCAATTTTGGATAATCATATAAAGTAGTCCATAACTGATTTTCGACTTCCTTAAAAAGCAAAAAAAAATCAATAGAAAAATTTAAAAACGAAAATATTCTTACAAAAGTTATTTTTCCGACATCATATTTTTGTATTGTAGTTCTTAAATATTTTTCAATTGTTTCTTCAAGTACAATTGAACTTTTATCGTTACTTAATTGTAGAATTTGTTTAATTTTATTCCGTATATCTTTTGCTTGATTTTGTGCATGACGAAAAGCAAGCTTTAAAAAAAATAAAAATTTTCTTTTTCTTTTTCTTTTTTCTATTCAATTATTAAATAGACTTTTATACATACGACAACAACGGAAAATAATAATTTTGATTTAAGATCATCTGCATCAGACATTTCACGTATATTATCTAATGCATCAAGAGCATCAATACGAGCTTGAGAATAAAGTGAGCTATATGAACGAATTAATTCAGTTGGACGAGATACTTGATTTAGATCTTCAAATTTACCACCTTTTTCTAATTGTCGTTGGGCTTGTTCTGCTAATCTAAATTTAAAGAAAACAATAATGTAAACAGAGATTATTCAGTCAAGAACATTAGTTTAGAACTTCAGCATGTCAGATAGTTATTTTAGACTTGTTATGTGTAGAGTTCGATGACTAAAATTTTTTTGAATCCAAACCGTACTTCTAATTTCAAAGAAATTGTTTTGGTCTGCAGCTTTAAGTCGTTTCAGAGATGTTGGATTCTTTTTATCGATTATTTCTATTCTACTAACAATGTATGCTACTGACAGCTTTTATCATGATCTTATAAGAATTAATTCATAATTGATTGTTACTTCTAGAGTATGCCCTGGAACCAAAGCGACAGACCAGTTCTGTGTCTGTTTCGAGAAGCTTGATTAGTTTTATGAGTTAAATACATTGTAACAGTCCCAGCTGAGGTTTTTGCTTATCATCAAAGCTTTAATACGCAAAGGATAAAAAAGTTTCCTTTTATTTCCTTGACCTTATTCTCTGGCGATTGCAGAAACGGCCCGAATATTTTCTTGAGAATAATATAAGATTGATAGATTACAATACCTCCTATATGTCATTGATTACGAGTGATAATGATTCAATTATCCTTGTACTAATCATCAGCATTTGTATTTCAATACACAATTCCTTTATTGTTCTATATACTTATAGCAAAGGTCAAAATTTTTAACCTTGATGAATTTTTAGGAAATATTCTTTTTATCTATTTTAGATGTCTTTTAATAGTCATCAAGTAATTATATCAATCATATGTATATTTTCAATAATAGAAATAATACTAAGTTTATTTATTTATGTATATTATCCATGTGATTCTTATGCATATGCCTTACGTTTTATTGAATCATCAGGTCTAATTGGTTTTGTTAGTACATTATTTTATTTTATACTGACAGAATTAAAAAAAAATCATGCTAATATTTATTTAATATTATCGAATTTTTATTTTGTATGCATGATATGTGTTTGTATATATTGGTTAATTAGTCTATCGGTTGAAACTCGTCGTTTTATTGATAATTTACATGATATACAATGTCAAAGAGTTGTTTATTATTTTGTATTACTGACATTCATTGGAAATTATTTTATTTTACTTATGCTTATTATATATGCTATATTTTTTCGTTATTTAGATAAGAATAATAAACAAGAATTCTATACTTATGCAACACTTATTCGTTAAATGTATAGAATTAACTTTACCTTTCACGCATTTGTTCTTCACTTTTTTGTAAACGTGCAATTGTTTCTTTGGACTTTTGTAATTCATTTTTTAATTGTATTAAATCATTTTTTAATCGTTCTTTTTCATCATAATCAGCATTTGTTATTTGTTGCTGTTGTTGTTGTTGAACATTTTCTATTGAAGTGAAATTTGTAACGTTTGTTATTGGTGGTGGAATTGATTGTAATGATGATGCTGGAGGTAAATTAACTGTTTGTTGTTGATGTTGAACAATGGGTGATGATGATGATGATGGAGATATAGGACTTTTAGTAGGTATTCGATTTCGTCCATTCAAACCTAATGGTTGAAGTGGAGCTACAATTAAAAAATTGATATATTAAACAAAATATAATATAATGTTACATACATTTTGATTTATCAAAATACATGCACGATAAAGCTGTCGACATAACTATTCGTTCTTTTTTTCTCAATTCACATGAAGTAAAAACAAAATAAACAGACATGAGATTCAATTTGTTCTTTTTTTTTTTAAATGTAATAGAAAGAAAAAGAAAAAAATAATGATAATAGTAGTAAATGGAGAAGTAATCGAATCTGTTATAATAGAATGACCGTTATCATTGATGCGCACTTAGAAAAGTTAACCTCATTGCTTTTTACATTAGCAGAAAATATGCCTATTGTCAATCGAACTGCCATTTACAAGGAAAATCTAGTTATTCTTTTCTTTGTTTCTCAATAAAAGATATTTCTGTTATCTATGAGATCAATAATAAACAAATAAGGATAGAATAGGATCTTTATTTGTTTATGTTTTTTGACCTTTTCTAATAATTCTTTAAAAAAAGACAAAAAAAAAACTTATATGGAAAGTATTAAGTGATATTGATATGATTTTGATAATTACACACGAATGAATTTATCTTCTGAGTATTTGTCTAATATCAATTATTACTTCTAGAATCTTATATAATAAAATAAATTGAGATAATGATGGCGATTAATTGATTCCTCTGAGATACTTTATTAGATTGATAAAAATAAAATTCTTCGTTGTTTGTTTATTTATTTTTTTGTAAATCGAATATAAATTTCTTACATATTTGATCATTATTTTCCGATTCATCATCATTATTAATATCATCAGTTAAAACTGTCGAACTATCATTTTTCATTGTTATTGTTGAACATGAATCAGTATTATTTTCTAAATATTGATGACGAAAAGATAATATTGGTGTCATTGATATTTCTGGTTGAATATTTGTTGATTGTTCATAATTAATTAACGAATTACATGATTTCATTGTTGTTGATCGTTTATTATAAAATCGTTCTTTATTTTTTTTTAATGAACGACGTAAAGTATATACAATACCTTGTGTTTTATTATTTTCATTTATATTTATTTCAGATGAAATTGGTTGAAATCGATGTTCATGATGCATTATTGGTGTTATTGGAAGACTATGAATAGTTAATGGTTGATTAAGATTATTGATATTTGAAGGTACAGATCGTGCTAAATCAAGATTATTTGTTAAACAATCTTGTTGATGAGAATTTTTGTTATTTATAATTGTTGAATTCGATGGTACATGAAAACTTTTAGTTCGATTAAGATATTGAGCAGCTGTCGAAAGACATGTATTGATAAGTTTACTAGTAGATTGCTGTTTTCGAATATGATTATTGACTGTATGTGGTGAGTGTTGTGTATAAATAAAATGAAAATTAACAGCATCTGACATATTGCTAATGAGATTTATATGGTTCTTAAAATTGGATAAATATTCGATTGAATAATTTGATTTGGTATTATTATCAATGAAAGATATGCTATTCCATTGAAAATGTCGAAGAAATATATGTATATATATATATTAGATACCACAAGTGGGAGGTGAATATGGCAATGAACGATCAACAGAGAAACAACATGGATGTTATTTTATGATAAAGTTCGATAGATGCATTACATTGTCGAGTATAAAGAGTAGTATGTGTATATATTAAGAAGAGTCATCTCTTTCTCTGTCTCTCGCTCGCTTTCTGTGCGACGTACTCTACTTCTCTTTCTCTTCTTTTGCTGAATATATGAGTACGATATAATATTAATGGATGAATGATAACTATAATCATGCTCATTTGCCACTACCGAAAGCTTTAGTAAAGTCTAGCAGATGTGACCACATAGGGTGATTACTTAATGAAAATTACGTGTATGTTTGTTCTTTTAGATATAATGATAAAACAAAAAAAGAATGAAGAAAACATATATATATATATACAGAAAGTGTCATATATCATTAATTTTGATTTAATTAACAGAACAAAAAAATAGATATATAAATCATCGTCATCTTTTTTCATCATAGACATTTGTTTGATTTGTATATAAATTGTTTATATGTCAATGTTAGAAAAAGAAAATACATCATCATTATTTTATGCTTCAGTCGTCTTCTATAATTCTTCATTGTCATTATGTACCATACAATGAAGTAAACATTTCCTACTGAGCATCAGAATAACTATGAACCCAATCAGCCGATGATATCCTGCTGTTATTCGCTGTTATTTGAGTAATCGGCCGAAGAATATATTTAGTCTTTTATCTTTAATCAATGCGAACATAATTATAGTTTCATAAAGATAAGCAAAAGAAATATTTCAACAATATTATTGAAATATTCATTGTATATATTAATACATAAAAAAAAGCTTGTACAATATGATTTCTCTTGTCAAGGAGACAAATATATCTGTATATCTTCATAAATAATAGCGTCTGCATGTCAATGCCAACATGATCTACAGGCACATTTTCTGCTAGCTATTTCTTTATTACTAACTATAGCACTTATGTGACTAAAAAAAAAAATTGATCAAGATGTCATCATTTTTACCTTATCAAATAGAAATAAAATCTCTTTAAACATAACATTATTAAAATGAATAAAATTTGTACTTATAATTCAATGATGTGTTGATATCATGTGACACTAAATTCTATTAGTTACATTGATACAATTACGTTGTAATTGACAAAATTTTATTAAGTTTATGATAGTTTAAAGATAAAGATTCTTATCTTATAATGTTCTTTTACATTAGTTTGACATATACTAATGCTAGTGCATCATGTTCTATTATAGACAATACTCAATCTATTATGTTCAACGATCGAATCAAATTGATATATTGGTCATCTCTAAGAAAAAGAAAAATAGACACATCTTTTCTGAACAGATTTAATGACATCTAATGATTTTTTTACATCTGTAAAAAAATAAATAGAAAGAAGAATATCTCTTTATATATTTAAAAATATCTATATTGATTTATTCTTCGACTCATGAAAACTTTATATTTAACTCCGATTTCAAATAAAAAAAATAATCTGACGTTTCAAATTACATAATCTCAATATTCATATATATTTAACAAATTGTGACTATAATGCTAATATGAAAATATATTTTTCTTTTTCTTTTTAGTCTATTATCATAGAATTTAATGAAAATTTTCTTACCTATTAATCCATCTTTGACAGCCATATCATCTTTATAAAGTGGAAAATCGTTTTCTAAAGACAAAAAAACGAAACAATTAAATACAATAGTTTCAATAAAAGATAAACAAATAAACTCGTTTATTTTAATAGACTATCATGTACGATTTTTTTTTATTTATCTTAGAATATAAACTCACCAACACGTGAAGTGTGATATGATGGTAATCTAAATGATCTAATCAAGACTGTAGAAGATGGTGATTGGGATGACGAAAACAAATAAGGAGAACGAGACAAAGAAGTAAAATACAGTGTCAATTGATCGTCGTTCGAACTTTGACTCATTTTTAGTTAAAACAAAAACGAAGATAATGCTTTACAAACGTAGAACGAATAATCCCTTTCGTTATACGATGAGAATATTGAATTTGCGATTAGTAAAACTGAACATGGTACCATCGAATAGTAGTAGTAGTTGATAGATTTATATTTGTCGAAACACGATCGTCAATTGTACGCAAAACAAATAGAATGACGATGATGATATTTCACGTCATCATGTATTGGTTATATCCTCCTTAAGTAGTTTTCCTTCTTTTTCTCCTTGTATGATAACCAACTCAAGATGAACAAACGAGCGACATAGCTGCTTCCTTAAAACATGCTGATGTCACAAAAAGAAAGATTATGCGACGTTATTAATAACCTCGCAGGAATCGACGTGCATGTCATCACGCCGCCAGCTAAACTAGCTCTATCTATTTTGTTCTGATTGCATAGTGTGGTACGGGTTCTTTCATGAATATATTTACTAAGATATATCAACAACTAATCATGTTGTATCTATTCATTGATTGATTCAATCAACTAGTCAATTCATCAGCAATACATAAACACAAGATGTGCAATTTTATAATGTCTAATCGATTGCAAGAAAAAGGCTCCCACACACTTCGATAAGACATAGAAAACAAAAAATAAGGATTGAATAACGAATACAAAACATGTTTTTTTTTTACTTACCGTGCCGGTTACGATATAGTTGAAAGTCTTCTAAAACTGAATAACGTGCATATTTGTTGTTATTGTTGTTGTTATTATTGGCACTGCTGCGTACACCAGGTTTTTTTTGTCTAAGCATTACTGTCGCAATTTTTTAAGAATGTATGCACGAAAAATAATGAGAAATCAACAATATTGCTTCGTCTTAAAGTCGTGACAGGGATGTCGCATATAGTGTGTATGTGTGTGTGTGAAAGAATGAAAATGTGATGATGGATGAGAAGAGAACGATGAAAAAGAAGAAGGCAAATGTCTATATACAAAAGGTGTACGAATCTTGCTACTTACTCTTTCTGCTTATAACAATTGCATTTAGATTGATCATATTATTGTCTTTCTCAACTATCTATTAATTATTAGTATATTCAAGAATATATTCAATATATAGTAATTGTTTTATTTGTTTGATAGAAAAAAAAAATGCAAATCATCGGTGTACAGACATTTTGTCTGGCCTTGTAACTCATAAACTATAAAATATATTTTTATAACCGACAGCAAAAAAAGAAAAAGAAAAAGAAAGAAAATAAAAAATAGGTAAACTTTTTTTTTCTTCAATTATATATATGATCCTAATCTAAAAATATTGATTTCATACATCTAATATATCCAACCTATTTAATAATATATAATTCTCTATCCTTTTCTTACATTTGGTGAATACATATTCTGCTTACTTACTATTTTCTTTTTTTCCTATGTGATCTGATTATTAGAAGGACATAAAAGGGATAAAAATCGTTTTCTTGTTTGATAGACTACTGCTGTTCGATAAACACAGTGCGCATCAATAAAAGAACGAGTGACTGTACTAATCTGACGTAGGCATCCCAATTGTCTATAAGCAAAAAAAAGCCCTCAATATTTCTTCTTCTTTATTTTTTCTCTTATCGTATACCATCACCATCCTGTGTCGATTAGAAAAAGAAATTGACAAGTCTATTCATCGTACCGATGACCAATACGACTAATGGCTACTTTTATTTATTCATATGGTTAAAATTTACTTACGAGTTAGTGTTCGTTCATAACATATTCCACCCATACCACTTACACCTTTAACAGTTGTATCGTCAATCACAATATCATCCGTGCATTCGTCGATCAACGTACTGTCAGTTACGCGTCTCCACAATTGAATAATACCTAAAACAGTTGAATAAACATTGAACTATATAATTTTATCGATATGTATATATTCAATATACGTTCATAAGCGAATGCAAATCGTTTAAATAATGGTAATAAAGGTTCACTAATAGGTATTTGTTTTTCATGTGTTTTAATATGAGCATATGCTAATAAAATTTGTTTATCCATTGAAACTTTATAAGTAAGATTATTTACAATTGTATATAGTTTTGAACGTGATAAATATGGTTCAATTAAATTTAATACTGCTGTATGTTGATAAAGACGATTTTGTATATCATCTAGTGAATTAGCCGTTGAAGCAGTTGTTATAGATGATATTACTGATGTTGATGTACGTATTGAAGTTTTCTTTTTTGGTAAAGATGGTGTCGAATGAGCTGATGATGAAGTTCGAGGCATTGTAATTACTTTGGTTCCAAGTTTATGTAATGCTTGTTGACAATAAATAATTGTTGATTCTAATTCATGACATAAAGTTTCTTGAAGGTTAATATGTGTTAATGATGTAGATTTTCTTAATGTTGAAATATTTATTATATTGGAGTGACGTTGTTCAAAATAAAGTATACATTCATCAATAGTTTCTTTTTGACGTAAAAGACGTTTAAATAATATTGGTTGAATATAAGATATAATACGTAGTATACTAGCAAGATTACTTAATACAAATTCATCATCAGTATATTGTTCTTTAGATATTGATGTATTAGATATTGATAGTGTATTATCATGCATTGATAATGAAAAAATACTAATCATCTTTGATATAAGTCGTTCAGGTTTAAGTATTCGAAGAGGAAATGTATCTGGATCAATGATAAATATTTTTGAATAGATTACTTCAAATATTTCAATCGAAAATGGTAACTGAGCGAGTAAAGTATCGATGGGTAAATCAGTGTTTAAGATTTTACGGAATGTATTTGAATTAAGACGATTAATATAAATAGCACAATCATTATAATTATGAGTTCGAAGATACTGTAAAATACGAGTCGATGCAATATCGACTGGCACATTACGTATACTACTCATTATTTAAATCTTAATTAACAAAATAAAAAATTATAGAAGAAATTCATTCTTTTTTTTTTTAATATGTGCATATCTTTTTTGATGATTAAATTCAAGAAAAAAAAAAACGTACTAGTTTATAGATAGATAACAATCGTATCATCGTAGTTTTCTTTCCTTGTTATTCTATTGTTGTTATGGGATGTGGCATAGTCGAGAGATATTGGTTAGAGTGATGAAAGAACAATACTTAGCTCGTTCGTATTTTCTCGATTCTCTGTTACACTACTATCACTTTCAGATAGCAACAACGAAAAGAGAAAAGATGTTTTGTCCTTTATTACTTCTCATATATATTTCTCTCTCTCTCTTTCTTAGTTTATTGTTGACGTCGATGGTGCTGATCTATTATCTATCTATTGCCACATATATTAAGAAGATACTCTTGACGAAAGAAATAAGGTTGATGATTATATGCATATATAATCTTCTTTCTCTCTGTTATGGCATTGACTTATCGATAACGACAATTGTCCCTTTGCAGAAAGAAATATATGGAGAGTCGTCCTTCATGTTAACATGACACATGAATCAAATCAGATGTAGTTCTATAACGTACAGATGAGAAGACTAATTTTCGATCAGATGCAAACATATTAAATCTTACTTTGATTCACCTTTACAATATGATTGCCATTTGACTTAAAAAGTCAAATATTATGAGAGAAATGAGAATAACGGTTTATTCTTCTATTACTTATTGATTAAGAGCACTCTTATTCACTTTGCAAGTAGGTTAAATGATACAAATGAATAAGATACATTATGTTACACATTCTCATATCACTAAGGTCAACTTTTATCTAAATAATCCATACTATAGATTTTTTTTTCAACATGAGAGAACGAAATATTGGTTGATGCATTATCTTGTTTGTCTTTTAATCAAAATGAATTTATCAACAAGTGATGAATCCACAAAAATCTCGTTAAATGATGGAAGCCAACTTAATAAGATGATTATAGATATATGACTTACAATAATGTTTTTTTTTATTACATAAAGTTCGATTAATATTATTACTATGAATTTTTGGAAGAAAAAAATACATTATTCTTACCGACTTTCTTTGTGTGCTTTTCTGCTTTAATGTTCAAAGAAAGTCAGTACGACTATGAATATCTATGGTTCGATGACAGTATTAGAATGTGATCAATGATTCATCGTCACAACTGTTCATCAAAATTCTTTTACATCATGCCTAGCAATATGATAGATATAATAACATGCATTTCTAGTGGTCAATCTATTTTATGCGATTCTTTCATTTGTTATGAGTTGCTCTGCTGATATAATTAACTTTGCAAGTAAATTAATTTTATGTATAAGTTAGAATATTGATTAGAAACATACAATCGATGAAAGTCAATAACATTGGTCATGAATGTTGTCATTCAAATTCAAACTTTTAAATAATGAGAAATTACAATATCTAACAATTTACTCATTATCATCACTATATTAGCAATTAACCGTTTGAAAAACGGAATTAATGGCCCGATTAAGGTTAATGAAGCTAATCATAATTTTGACTCATATCATGTACTTTTCTGACTCAATGACGATGTTTATAATAATTTCAAGCAATCTCAAAATCTTCTATGTTCAATACATGATACGAATCTAAAAAGATGGACTTGACAAAACTCAAAGGTAATCTCATCGCATGCTTTTTTGATGTTAGATAATTAACTCTGAATATATGAACATGAGCAAGATATTTCATCAAAGAACAATCTATTAGCGCTAAAGAAGTTTTTCATAGCATCTAGACAGAAACTGGAAAACTTTTTAGTATTGTATAATTATTGGTTTTCTTTGGTTCAAAAACGTAACGTAGTTCATGAACATGAAATTCAAAATTCAGTTCAAAAATTCATTACTAAAATGAAAGCATGATTGTCTCATTTAAATGAAAATTCTATGAGAAATTTAGACCAGTTAGAACTTGAGTTTGAGTTTCATTCAAATCGAATTCTGTTTCATTGAAACGTGAATATAATAATTGTCAGTGTATATTTGATGAATGAAACTACTCTTAGTTTCACGATTCCATCAACAACAAACATGAACAACAAGATTGACAGCTCTGACTGCTCATATCTCAAGAAAGAAAAATAATTGTATGTGCCAACATATCAAAACATATCTCCCATAGATGAATTAACCTACTGTTACATGAGTACATCTGACAAAGTAATCTCGTCATAAGTCATATACTACTGACTTAGATGTCTTATTCCTTTATTGACTAAAAATAAGATGCTATTTCATTCCAATAGTGGATCTAGACCGGTAATCCACTAAAGTGTTGATGAGTCAATACAGGTATGCAAATAGCTAAAAGTATCTTGAAAAACTATTTGCAGAATTTACATTCTTGATATGTTCTTTAATAGATGGCAAAAGTCATCGTAAGTAAGATTTTACGAACGGACTCCTCTCGATGGAATGGATCTGTATTTTGTGCAGAGAAACTTTATCATCCATTTACAATCTTTTATTCATAATCAATTTTCTTATCCGATCTCTACGCTTATGATATGCTATGAACGATTGAACAGCGATCATTATTAATATTGATCGTCGGCTATTTCAAAGAATGACCAAACCTTATATCAGATTTAATTAAATCTACTTTGAAACATCTTTATACAATTGATTCACGTTGATTCGATGTAGCCATGAGAGTAAGGTTTTTTACCTACATATAAACGTTTTCGTTTTTTCATGTAGTCGTGGTACTTGATTTATGTAATTAGATATACACTAGATTTGTATGAATTTTTAACATTATTTTGTTATTCTTTAGTATTCAAGTATCCGTAGAAGATGAAAATGATTGAGATAACTTTTACAAATATTACTTTTTCTAGATGAATGAAAAGATCATTAAATAAGTTTAATTAGTTACGATAAACACTCTAAAACCTACAAGATTTTAAAGAAAATTTTGAAACTTCGTTTTCACATTAGATTTCTATCTTTTTCAGGTGAAACTTTCAGATAGTTGAGATGATTGTTTCGAATTGACACACTAAAGATTTCAGTTCAATCGACTTCTGCTCCTTCCCGAAAACTAAAAATCATAACTCTTGTATGAATCAACGTGTATTCAAACCATCTTAAAGTATTTTATGCTCCTTCATGTTCTATTTAATTATCATCTTTTCAGTTCAAAAGATTGATAGCTTTCCAAATAGTTTTTCTGTCTCTTCTAAATACTTTTAGTGAAACTTTGTTGATAGATTTCAATTTTATGTCAAAGCGCTTCATGTAATAACTATAGATAAGTTTCTACTTGAATTCTGTTGGACAATTAGCAGTATTAAATTTAAATATTCCTAAGATGGATTATACTTGCATAGATTCCACATTAAGAGCAAATATACAAAATGACGCAGAAAATAAATAATTGAATGCTTAAATATGAATTTATACATGAAAATAAAAAGAAAACAATAAAATGTTTTAGATAATGTTACATAGTAACAATAAAGCTGAACGAAAAATTTTGATTTGGTGTTGATGAATGAAGATTGGAATCGGAAAGTAATCAACATCTTTCTATTATAGCTCATTCGATACACTTTATTGTTCTATAGCTACATCAAAAGCATATTGATAACTGGATTTATTCAACGTCCTAAACTAAAATTTCTATAACATATTACTTCTTACCATCACATCTAAAGGAAGCTATGGTACAAAAGAATGAACTGGCACCATCATCTTTCTAATACATTACATACTAATGTACTCCACGCATAAATCAGCATGTACAGATGTTCTATTAAGCTGTAAACAAATCTTATTGATTTGTATTTCATTTGTAGAATTTTTCTTTTTTTTGTCTTCATGTTCGTTTTCAAGTTTTTAGGCATTTTATTTATTTTGCAAACAAAGTAAACAAATGGTCGACATTTCAAGATTATAAATAACTAATCATAAAATCAAATTATACAAAAGTAAATCATTGTTCATCCGTCAATGTCTATGATTGAAAACAAACTGAAAAGACAGAATTGAAATATAAATATGTGACAAAAAAAAATTTTGTTTTTTCTATTGCATAAGAATTAATACTAGGTTGGAAATAATATTTTGCCAGGGGGATACAGCTATGATTTCAAAATAGAATAAATAATGAATTTTATATCAAACGAAAGCCTGTCGAAAATGAGATTTATCTGTATTAAATGGTAAGGGTTCTGTCAAACTTTTTATATCAAACATAACAAATTTCTAGAAATTTTTGCTATTTTAGTATGAAAAAGTTTCTTTCATGAGGCAGTTCAAAAACTAAATTTGATTCAAAATGATGGTTTTCTACTAGGTAACAGTGCCGATGTTTCTAGAAATTTGTCATGTTTGATATAAAAAGTTTGACAGAACCCTTACCATTTAATACAGATAAATCTCATTTTCGACAGGCTTTCGTTTGATATAAAATTCATTATTTATTCTATTTTGAAATCATAGCTGTATCCCCCTGGCAAAATATTATTTTCCACCTAGTACACTGATAGCTTGCGACATGGAGAACAACATGGACATTTGATGAATAAATAGAAGTGATATCTTTTGCGATTTTGAATAATGTACAGTATTATTCAGTCATCGATTTTTTCGAAAAAAATTTTTTATTCCATTTCTATAACATCTTAGAAAAAAAACAATGGAATAAATTAGGCAGACTCTAAAACAATGAGAGCTCTTGCTGTATTATTCAATAATGAAAACTTTGTTTTAAAACTTTCTATATTGAAAAAAATAAGCATTCTTTCTTAGCTAAGATTTTTGATAAAGACATGTTCAATGTAATCAGTGTAAAGACTTTACCACAGCTCCAAATTAGACGAGATTGTCACAGAAAGCATTTTTTCTTGTACATGTGCTCAGTTAATGTAAAGATATGCACATGTTTCCAGAACAAGTTAGAGGTTTTCTAGTTTTTTTTTGTGATTCTCTAACTTACAAAGTTTTTCCAAACAAAATCAATGACATATTGGAAATCAATACAAAAAATTAAATCAAATGATATATAGTTTGTTACTTTTTTCACTCAAAATATTTTAAATAAACTGTTAGGTCAAAGATTCCTTTCAAGTATCTTCTACGAGATTTTTTATTTGGATTTCGCAATTTCTATGGGCCATTTTTTTTTGAGTAGTAGTAGCTGAGATTATGTTTCTATGAAAAAGATACAATATTCACAAAAAAATAAGACGTACTCATGGACTCTGTAGAAATGTTTCTTAGACATTATTCGATATACACTATAGTTTGAGTGAAGAATATTATTGTTGTTTTGTTCAGTTTTTCGATATTTGCATATAGATTGTAACGAATGGTTTTACTCTAAATAAACATAATCCAGAAGAACACAAGGAATGAATTTTTTAATATAAAATCCCATTTATTTATCAACGCATTGTTTACACATTATGAGAAGAAAACCATAGACAAATGTGCATACATAAGAGAAAAAGTTGAATTGAAAGTAAGCTATTATTCTTTTGTAAAAACAACAATAGAAAATCATGTCGAAATCTTACATATTTATATTGACAATTTTTTTTTTCATATGATCTTATTAAATAAAATACTATTTTCTTTTCAAGTTGGCATAGATACATGCAATCAATCGTGATTGTATAGTGCTCGACTCACATTTTTTATTATTCATGTTTTGTAAAAAGCATGTATAAAAAATATACATACACAATATTCTTTGTCTTGCTTTACATGTCTTATGTTATACAAGGAACTCATTTTCGTGGTTCTATGATATCTTGGCGTATAACCGATGAATCATCTTCAACTGTTCTTGTAGAAATTCTTCAACGTCATGCATGGCGATACACATTTTATACTCCATTGTGTACGGATGCAACTATTGCAAATGGACAACCTATTTTAGGCAGTAGTAGTTATGATATCGCTTGTGTCAGTAATTGTCCATCAGGCTTAACATCACTTGGAGATGTTCAAGTTCCTTGTACTGGTTATAACATTGGTGAACAATATTCAATGGGTGAAGGTCGTTTTACATTAAGTATTCCAATAAATTCTAATTTTATAGCTGCGTTTAGTAATGCAGCTTGGTTTGATCTTGTTACAGGAAACAATTTGGGATGGAGTGTTGCTGTTCAAATTCAAACCTATAAAAGAGTTGATACTGGATGGTATAACAATGCACCTATTGTTACGATGTTACCCATCTATCGATTAAGAAATTTAATCAGTTATTCTATCAAAATTAACGTCGCTGATAATGATTTTGATCCATATATTTGTCTTTGGTCTGAGGGATCTACACAATGTGGTGGACTTAGTAATAGTGTACCTGGTGCTATTGTTGATAATTATGGATGTTATTTAAACTTTACACCAAATATTGTGGGATACTATGCAGCTGCTTTGACAGTAGAAGATTTCGTGATATTACCGATCAATATATCATCAAATGATTATCTTTCACAAGTACCTATTCAATTCGTATTTCATGTTTACGACTCTCCAGATCCTTGTTTCACTGGACCAATCTATATAGGTGATCTCGTACCAGATATTTGTATCTATCTTCCAATAGGCACTACGCAGACTACTCGTGTTCGTTTTCAAGTTCAATGTACTAATGCTACTGTTGAGAGTGTAATTAGTGCCAATCCAGCTGGTTTATTAACAACGTCTATTGAACAAGATCCATTTGATCCTACCATCTTTGCTTTTCTTGCTAATTTTACATCAAGTGCTCAACAGGTAGGACAAAATCTCTTTTGTTTCGCTGCTGTTGACTCAATTGGAAATCAAGGAGATTCAGCTTGTCTTCGTTTTGCTGTATCATCACAAACATCTAGTCTTCAACCATTATACAGATTAAATGCTACTCGATATCCAATGGGAACAGTCTCAAAAACAACATCAACATGGACTATGCTTACTGGAACAAGTATTTATGAACGCCCAACAACAGAAACATACATTCGATTTAAAAGAACATCAGATGATGTTGATTTTTATGTATTAAATGCTGTGACCGCAATTGACAATGTTCTCTATTTAAGTGATCGTATAGTGATAAATTCCACAGTTGTATGGACTCCAGGTGAAAATTTTTATATTTATTTTGATGCTGGTGTATTCATAGAAGCTAGTTCATGTTCGAAAGAAGCAATGCCAATTAGTGATCCAAACTTTTGGCCATTTGACATACCATATGAAACGACAACAACAAGCACAAGTAATTACATCATTTATATTGTAACAAAATAAATGTAAACGCATATTATTTCTAGCTTCAACAACAACAACATCTGTATCATCAACAACGACAGCACGAACAGTAAGTATAGTTTCATGTTATAATTGTTGTTATACATTAAAAAAAAAGATTTTGTCTGAGTAGAACACTAAATGGTAAAGTATAATTTACTGAGCTTCTTCAATTGTATGAATTGAGATGTAACGTAATATACATCAAACATACCATTAGGACCATTGAGTTTTTCGAAGTGAAGTTTTATATAAGAAATTATCATGTACTACATAATGAATATTTTTTGCTAAAGATACCAACACGTCGAACCCTCGGCACATCGACGACAACTATATCAACAAGCACTTCAACAACAACAACAAAAACAGCATCCACAACAATTACTTCAACCAGAACAGTTCGAGTGACAAAGTCATTTCCTATTAGTGCTATTGTCGGTATTAGTCTTGTAGGTCTTTTTATTTGTGCATTATTGATATGGATAATTTTTTCATATATCCATGTTGCTTGGATTCGTTTCCTTCTTCTTGAGTTTGGTCTTCATCAGCAACTAGTTAGCGTTGATTCATCATCAACTCCTGATTTATTTTATGATTTAACAAAGAATGATCGTATTACATCAACACTCCAATATAAACTAGCAACACGTCATCATCGTCGACAAAGCAACAGCAAATATTCGACTATTAGTAATGCAACTTCTATTCAAAAAAGTTTAGTTGAAGTACATGTATAATCAAAGATTTTTCTTCTTATTGAACACCATAATTTAATAAGACTTATGCGTCCTAAAATAATTGAGTTCAAGTACAAATATGACTTGTTTAATTTTAAAAATCATTTTTTTGTACATATTTCGTTTCAAAAAATACAGCACAAATGTACGAAGATTATAGAATATACTCTTGATTCATTCCATTGATTTGTAAAAATTAAAGATAACTTCAAACACTAAATTCATATCATTTTCAATCGTAAAGTGCAAAAAAATACGAAACTAAAATTATCATAAGAACAACTTAATTTCGTCATGTGATTCTCAAGCCTTAACTTACTATACTTTTTATATCTCTACAAGCTTCTCTATTATTCTTGATGATTTGTATTCATCGTCTATTACGTCATAATCACACGCACTTAATATTCGTCATATGCACTGTAATGTATTATCTGCATGTCAGATAAATATTTCAAAGTAGATGTTTAAATGATTCCAAATTGAATTCAAAACAAACTATAGAATGATAAAGAATTTCCAATAGTATTTAATTAATTCCAAAACATATTCAATACGACATCAATAGTCACGTTATTTTCTTCACTTGCTTCCATTTTGAATCTGATTTTTCTCATTAATATTTTGACGTTCAATCATTGACGATTTCAATTTGTAAGATGATGTGTTACGAACAAAGATTCTTACATGTGACTCGTGAATTGTTCCTTATATATTGCTCATACATAACTTCTGACGAGATTACTAGAAGTCTATATCAGAGTTCGTCTCCATAATCTGTCCTTGCCAAGTATTGGTAAAAAAAATGAAATTAGGAATGTCTGTCTCATCAAAGATAAAAAATCAATTTTTCATTCAGCATGAGATCCAAGAGAGATGTGCCTGTTCAAAGTTTTAGATCTTTCTTTCGAAAGAGAAAATCTATATAGTACACTAAACGAAATACAGGAAAATTGTAAAAACTTGCAAAGAATAGCGCACATACGAACGAATCTTTATATGCTTCTACTAAACTTATCAAAGGCTTACTCATGGACAAATTATCAGTTCGATTGACACGTTACACTTGAACACCTTCACTCGTTCGATGAATAAGAAAATTTCATTCTATTACATTTATTTATTGAAATGTCTATTAATTGAACTCATGAAAACAATAATGAATAAAGAAATTTAACTAAATACAATCGCATACAAATGAGAGATAGATACATATTATTTTATTTTGATCATTTCAGGTTGGAAAGACAAACAGAATCAAGTACAATGACAAATAATAGCACAAAAGAAATGCATTAATTTTTGGAAGGATTATTTAATTAAGGCAAAGAAAAAAGAATCGAGAATATTTACATATGCACGCATAAATGAATATACATAACTGTAGTAAAACATGACTAACGAAGAAAAAAAAAAGATAATCACTACGTCCAACTCGATATCTCGTTTAAACAAGCACCCAACATAAAGAAAGAAAAGACAAACGCAAACACCGGAACTAGACGAGAGAGAAACAAAAAAAAAGGAATATCTGAGTTACAATTTTAAACAAAAAAATGAGCATTCAAACCAAAGCGAGAAAACAATAAATATGAAGTGTTTGCATTAGCTTGTCGTTATTATCTATTCACTGTTTTGACTGTAGAAGAAAAAAGAAAACACAAAGAATCTATAATCTCTGATGATAAATGGGATAAAAACGCAAACACCACCGGAGATGGTCAATAAAAAAAAAAAAGAAAAAGCAAAGAAAGGACTAGCACACAAGGATGGAATACGATAGGATAAGTTTTATTTTGTTCATTTACTCACTAAATTAAAGATGAATATTTAGAAAATTATTTGTGTTTATTCCTAATAAGATCTATTCGTTTAAAACATTAAATTTCACTGTTGTTTTGTTATTGCTTAATAACCAAAAAACTAAGATCAGACATTTATGCACAATTTATATATGTTATCATATTTGATTGATCATTGAAGGAGTTCAAGAGACTTAATCAAAGGACGGAAAATAAATGTATAACGGAAGAAGAATTTTTTCGAAACTAGTATTGCAAACATACATGGCTAACTACTATTAGAAAGGGAGTTTTTAAAAGTATCAATCACAGGAAAGAAAACAAAAATGTGCATATTCATGATAAGATATGATTGACTTTATTTTACTTATTGCCATGGGATTGCTTGTTGTGAATAATTTGTCCATATATTATTATCAAAGGATATTTTTGATTGAAATGGATTATAATCAAAATCTTGATCATATGTTGGTGATGAATTTGTTTTCATTGGAATGTTATTTCTATTTGGTCGTGCTATTGTTGTACGTTGACCAACAATTTTACGTGTTGAAATACCATTTGATTGTATAGATGATGATAAAACTTGTTGAGGAATATTTTTTGTTGAATTTATTTGTTGACTATAATTAACATTAGTTTTTGTCATTTCTGATATGCGTTCGAGATTCCACCAAAAATCTTTACTTAAACGAGTTATCCATGCACTATCATCACGTAATAAATATCGATCTACAAAAAAAACACAAGAAATATTTATCATGGAAAAATTGTAAATTTTAAGGGTTCTTTTTTTTTGTTTTTGATATGTACATACCAGCATTTTCAAATACACTCCAATCAACATCAGGATCACTTAATGATAATGTTGATTGATTAAATGCATTATTATGATTATTAAAATTGATGAAAGTATTATCAAAACCTAAAAATAGACATAAAATAAAATTATATATTCAATTATTTTATTTACTAGATGATTGATCCATAGTCATCATCATGTTTATTTGACTTTGTTTCACTGATATATCCAAAAAATTTAGTTATAATAAATATGAAAGACAAATGCGTCGATAGAACGTTGTTTATTGTCGGATGTAGAACTAGTATGGACAAAATGAATAATATATTCGAGATGATGATCTAGAAAAAAAAATAACAGGTTTTATTAATGATGGCATCATATTTTACAAGAACTATGCCATAGATTGTTGAAATCGATGACACAACTTTTTTTTTTCTCTTCTCTCTTTCGTAATGAATATTATGTCGTTGATTTTGACCTCGCAGTGCATGATTATTTTACTCATCTATCAAATTAAAGAGTGAATGAGAAAAGAAGAAAAAAAACGTTGTCCATAGAAAAAGTTCAACACGCCAAACGAATACACGAACTGTTAAAACAAGTGTGTGTGCACACTAACGTTGCGAGTCACTTGTCTCTTACTTAATGTGAAGAGCAAAATATGCGTAAACATACACATATATATATACATACCAAAAAGCAAAAGAAAGAAGAGATCTATGTATGAATGTTAACATAACAAAACAGAAAATTCAATTACTGAAGAAAACAGTAAACAATCGTCTGACGACGACGACGTCTAATGTCGTATGTTAAGATGAATATGGCTATATGTGTCTTGGTGTTGTTTCTTTTTCTCTGATGAGATAAAGAGAGAAGAAAAAACAAAAAAAAAAAAGAAAGTATGCGAAAGAGATGCACATATATACTTAACATCTTCACTTGCTTGGTCTAAATGTTGATAGTATAATAACAAGAGACGAAAGAAATATTCATTCCTAATCAAATCGTGATGATAAAGCAGTTTCATCATTGTGTTTCTTTTTTTTTTGCTTGTGTCTTTCTATTAAATATGTTTTTTTTTTTATTCTTACTCATCATATCTTCATGATGACATTAGATTTTTCTTATCACTTAATCAAACAAAAAAAAATGAAAACGAGGTAACCTTACAAAATTAATGACACACTATTTTTGTTTAGTTAGTTACTTAGAAAATAAGATACATGACGAAAAAAATAGCTATCATATATGACAAACTAGGATAGAATATGAGGATAAAAATAGTCTATTACCTGATAAAGAAAAAAGCAAAGAACTAGTTGCTTTCTTATATGGTCAAAACAAAATAAATGGGATAAAAGAGGAAGAAGAACTGAAAGCTAGATGAGAGAACAGAAAAAGAAGAAAGGAAAGGAAAAAAAAACCAACTTAATGAGAAAGAGAAAAAAAGAAAGGTACACTAGAGAGTAAATGCTGGATAGTTGAGAGTCTCACAAGTAGAAAAGAAAGAGAGAGAAAATGATCCTAATAGATAAAAATATGATTGAATCTTTATGTAATCAATCAATGTGTTAGATTTAAATTAAAATTATTTTCTTTATTTCAAAGAAAATAAAAATAAAAATAAAAATTTTCATCTACAATGAAAAAAAAATTATCGAAATAAACTCTTTCGACAGAGGGCACTATACAACATTAATAAAAATTGCAAATAAAATTCGCTATAAAATAAGATATTCATGTCATATAGAAATGATAAGGCAGAGAAAACCTCTTAAACTGTTTTGTTTTTTTTTTTTGTAATTCGATTTAATCGATATGTCAGTTAAGACAACGAACTTGTAACATTAAAGAAAAATAAATAAAAAGATATCTGTTTAAATTTTACTATTCAAAATGATTCTATCTCGTTTGATTCATTGAATGAGAGTAGGTAGGAAACAGATGCCCGTTTGGATGTGAATCCATCCAAGCAATTGTTACTAAGACTTAAGAATTCTTTCCCATGATACTATGTTTCACAGTATTAATAACTGTATAATAATAATTGAAAAAAAAAAGTAAATGTTACCTTGCTTTTTTATATATTCGATCTTTTCGTCTTTTGATTTATCATTATTATCATTGAGCGAATTTTTTTAAACTGACGTTATTCAATTAAAATTTGTCATGTAGTCGTAATGTGTCACTATAAGTATCGGATATAAGATCAAATCCAAATAACATGTTCTCTGCAAATAATACTCAAAAGAACGAAAAAGAAAAGCTATTCATTCAATCATTGATTGTTTGTTTTTGATTATTTAATAAGTTCTATTGCTTTTCATTCAACACTCAAGATCTTCTGTAGAATTCTTGATGGCAAAATTAAATAATATAAATAATCTATAAAAGTACCGAATCGTACAATAGAGTGCAAGAAAAAATTTCTCATTCGAATTCTTCAAACTTCTTTCAGTGAAAACATTGAATAGAAGATATATTCTATTTTTGAATAAAAAAAGAGTATGTTCTTTTTGAGAAGTATAAAACCTTTACTGTTCTTCGTACAAATATCTCTACTTTCATCAAAATTTGAGAGTATTTACTTCCAAAAATATCATTAAAGAACTAATTATAAGTTTTCAATTGACTTGAAGCATGTTCTACGTAGTTTATGATCTGTTGATGATTTAGCGTATTTATTGCTAGAATACTTAGTCCTTGACAGTTTTATGTTAGATAGTATCAGGCAGAAGTTTTTATTATACAGAAAATTTAGCATACGTTGTAGTTACTGTTACTCGGTGAGTCTAATATGACTCCTCAATCCATTGGTTAATGATTAGCATGCCAGATACAATACATCATCAGATTATGTATTCTTCATATATCAATCTAAAATTACTATCATACAAATACATAAATAAACAATATAATTCGATTTTTCTAACTTAATGAATTCATTGAACTGCAATTATGCATTGCATAAAGTTTAGTGTCGAACACGTGAAGAATAGAGAATAGTATAGAATTAGCACACATGTTACAGAATAAAAAATTTCCATGAAACACAATCTAAAAGGAGTATTGGAGTATAATAGAATAGAAGTTTGCACCGCCTCCTACATATTATGACAGACAGGTTAGAAACTGCTCATCATAAACATCTTAGCAATGACATATCACATACGTAGCAGGCATCCTTAATAATGTCTTTGCTTCATCACAGACCATATATAAATAATGTTTCGTTATAATAAATGAATTACTTATTGCATATCTTAGGGATTAAATAAAACGATAGGGAGGAAATTACAGGGATTTGCTAATAAATTCTCATGAGCAAGCGTAGAATCTTAAATGATGTGCATGGTGGGATTAAGATAACAAATATTCTTCTAAAATAATGTCGATTCTCTATTAAATCGTATGTGCTGAATATAAAAATATTGTTCAATTCAAAAATATTACAGATATTTATTTTCATCAATCACAGGTATCAGTACAAAAAACTTTGTATTGATTATAAACTTAGATATTCACAATAGATTAATAATTAAATGTTATCATACGATTTCTTGCATTTCGATCAAAAATTCTTTTTACGAGTAAATGTTTATATGCTGTCCAATCGACTTCACGTTGAAGTTTTTTCTGTAATTCATCATCAGTTACATAAGGTCGAACCTATTAAAAGAAAAGAAATATTGAAAAAGAAGAAAAACTAAATAAATTTGTTCTACATAAATTACCTCTCGTCGTAATCGATCGAATAAACTTTCTGGTGTCATTTTAATAAAAAAACTTTTTCGTATTCGAATACATTCAACTCCATCAGAGACTAATGTAACACTTAGTGCATTTTTTAATTGTCCAAAAACGACGCTTACCAAACCCTTATGAAATAAAAATAATTAATAAATCAATAAAATGAACAGTATATTCAGTTTATGACATTAGTTTTTAGAATTGCAAAATACGTAGACGCAAATGAAATTTTTTTTTTAAAGTTTAAAGTAGATGTAATTTTTAAATACATCTAGTAAACAATTATTTTGAGTAATTTATAGTTTCAAAACATTTTATAATAAACTATACAAAGTGACCCCGAAAAAATTTTGAAGTAAGCAAAACATGAAATATTTGTACTCACAAAAACATTTTTTTCACGAATTTGTTCAATTTCAGTATAACATTTAGCTGGTTTAATTGGTGATTTTGGCTTAAAAGTATAAAAAAAAAAAAAAAGAATATTAATTTAAAATTAAAATGAAAATTAGTTTAAGAGTTTGTTTTATTTTTTTACTGTATTAAATGTGCCTAATGCTTCCATACTATATTGTGAAGCACGTTTTGTGCCAAAGTTATCATAAATAATTTTAGGTTTTTTTTTTGTTATTAATTTTGGTGTCACTTGTGTTAATGCTTTAATAACTCGACAAGAACCTGTACGAATAACATAAATCCATTCATCTTCATTTGAGTCTTTGCTCATTAATGTACCCACACTATAATAAAATGTTTCATTCATTATATTGTTTTCTTATGTAAGAATATTTTTACCGATAATAAACCACTTGACAAATATGTGGACTATCATGTGGAATTTTATCGATAGGAAATCCACGAAACTTAAAGTTTAAAACAAATATTACCAGAAGTAAAAATTAATAAAGTTTATTCTTTTTTATTTACTTCAGGTATTTGTCGTAAAAATGTGATAAAATCTGGTTCAGTTTCTCTATCATTAGCCATAAATATTTTAACAAAATCTTCTCGCTCGATTGCAAGCATCGACACGTCGGTTTGACAACAAACAGTTGCCGTTCTCCTATGTGCATTGATTAGTGCAACCTCCTATAGTGTAAAAAAAACGAAAAAAAAAAAACAACAATTATTCGGGTTATTATTATTATAGGAGAATAAATACTCTTACGCCGAAAGAGCTTCCTTTCTTAAGCACAGCAACGAGTCTTGAGCTGAATTTATGAGTTATCGGATGTTCTTGTAGTTTGAATACATTAGCTTTGAAATAAGAAAATAGAAGAAAATATTTTTTTTTTTTAATTCAACTTACTGATACCATCGACAATTAAATAGAACTTCTCAGCACGATGTCCTTCACGAAGTATTACTCGACCTCTTTCGAATTCTTCTAATATAGCAACACGTGCTAATGCATATTGTCGTTGAAGAGGAAATTCTATAGGTTAAAATTTAAAATTAAATGTCTTTAATAATAGTTTTTGAACTGTTCGAAGCAATCTTTGCATGATTAAAAACGAATATCAATCCATGAATATTTTAGAGTTTTTAAATTACTTCTAAATAGAACGATCCTAGTTATGTAGAATTAAACATTCGTATTGCATAATTTAAGTCTATCTATTTCCAAATTTAGATGTCTAAAAAATCTCTACTAATTTTTTTTTTTTATTTGAATTAACAAATTAATCAACATTAATAGCGACTCATGAATTGAATTCAATGAGAATCTAATTTATCATCATCTCCATAATATAGATTATATTAGATACGAAAAAATCTTCGAATGAATTTTTCTTTTCTTTTTTTAATTTACAAACCTGTAAACGATGAAACAGTTTGACCTAAACCAACAACAATCATACGAATATCTTCTTCTGATCTTGTTGCTGGATCAGATTTTAAAATTTTTCGAATATTTCTTCCAATTGTTTCCTAGATATTTTTGATTTCATTAGAATCACATAAAATTGCCTTTTTCGTTTTTTTTCTTACTCACCTCGACTGGTCGTCGAAATTTGCTTAGATCAAAAAGAATTTCTGAATTATTATATAATTGTTCTCTACCATCACGTAATGAATCAATTGCATATTTTCTCACAATTAAACAAACACGAACAGCATAACGAACCAAACGGAAAAATTTCCATAATTTTGTATGCAGCTAAATCAAGAACAAAAAAAAGAAACAAATAAATAGATACAAATAAACCAATAGTTTGTCTCTTATAATGAAAGAATACATAATCTCGATTGAATGAGTGTCCACGTTTTGTTCGAGCAGGTGGTAATACTAATTGTTGATAAAATGAACCTTGTGTTCCTGTACGATGGTATAAACTTGGTGTAGCATCACGAGACGACATCGAAATATGTGCGACAAAAAAAAACAGAAGAAAAGAATTGTATGCATAGGTTTTTTGTAATTGTCTTGCAGGACGAAGCATGAAAAAAATTAATAAAATAGCATTTAAGGGGTTTCCATTCATCATCATCGAAATTACTTTTAGTTCGACAACAGAAAAAAAAACATAACATTGTATGATTTACGAAAAGAAGAGATCGATTTATTTAAAAAAAAAAAAAAAGAAAAAGAAAAAAGAAATTTGACAACGTAAAAAATTCAAAATTAGTCATGTATTAACAGTTCATTATCAATTCATAGTTGATCAACAATTTTGATTTACTCTCAAAATATAAGCAAATCAAATTCGATTTTTTCTTATTTAGTAAATTTATTTTGATTTGGTGTAAATTATCGATAGATCTTTTACGTTTGATGGTAGTTGTATATCTTCAAGATTTTGTAATAAATGTTCATTCATAATAGCATCTTCATTGGAATTTTTCATATTCACTAAAAATAAGTGAATTAACGGGTTTTTTTTATAAACTAATATGATGCTGATAATTTTTTTTTGTCATGATTCGATACAAGCTTGTCGAGTTACGTTTAAAAGTATTGATTTTAATACATTTAGACGATATTTTTGTAATGAGCATTAGATTTTAAAACATCAGGAGAATGTATAATAATTAAAAGCAAAAAAGTTGAAAAACTTGTTGGAGTGACATTATGAGGGGCTATAGTGTGCAAGTCACAAACTTTGACTGTTATAAATTGATGATTTATTCTCAGATAGGTTGAAATTATATGTATTGTTTTAATCGTTCAGTTAGATTCCGAGCACACTATCCTTTCTTTCGAACACATTTGATATTCAAAACTAATTTTCGCTACATTTCAACCTAGAGAGAAGTACAGGCCAAAGTATTCCAAAATAACAGGTACGAGATGTAAGAACTGAAATGAAACGAAAGAGTAAAATAATTCTGAGTTGATAATTTTGATGTATTTTAATTTTCATAGATTTTCTCCTAATTTTCATTAAAAAAAAATATCATTTAAATATGTCAAAAGTCAGATTTTGAAGATAACTCAATATGCTGCATCTAATTATGACACGGCCAAATTTTAAATCCTCAGCACTTTACTCACATGCTGAACAATGTTCTTGATGAACTTGATTTAAACATTCTTCATCATCATTAATATTTTGATGTAAATGTTGAAAAAATTCTAAAGAAATTATTAATGATATTTTATAGTTAAGATACAATAAAATATTATACTTGTATTTATTGATTTTGATGATGTTAATAATCGAAAATTTGTAATTTGTGATGATTGATTAGAAGAAAATGATCTATGTAAATAATTTTTTCTTATTCATTTGATCAATAATATTTATATCGATTGAAATTCTTTTATTTTATTATTATTTCTTTTCTACTATTAGTGAATAATAGCTTGTTAAACAAATTACTTGAATTATTTTTACATATTATATGATAAATAAAATAAGTTTTAGTAAATATAAACAGTCAAACTATTCATTCAATTATATTTAATAATCTATTAACAAGAAAACAAATATAAGAATAAATAAAATTGATCTATTCTCAAGTGCAGGTTATTATCATCAGTGAGATTAATATAAATTGTGAATATTGTATAATGAGATTTATGATTGACAAGAAATACTATCGATTTTAAAATTTTCAATACACCGTTTATTTGGTTTTGTATTTCTAATGAGCAAATAAAAAAACTCACACAGTGAATATGATTTGTGTTTCTTTATGATCATTGTTGTATTGAGATCAAAAACTGACTAAGATAGTTTATTAGCGTTCGATTGTGATTGTGCCGTTACTCTTGACATAGAATTGTTCGAACTAAATTTTAATTTTTTTAAGGCTTATTTTTCTGTCAAAAATCGTGACGTCATTTTGAAAAAAAATAATTTTTTTTCTGTCGAGAAATACTGAATTTTGAAGAGAAAATATCAGTAGAAGTAAAGAAGAAATATTTTGAAATTCTGGACATTGTTATATCGTAGTGACAGATCTTTGTTGCATCGTAAAACCAATTCGAAATGTCTACCATTCAATCGCGAAGAGAAACTCTTGTCACACAGAGATCTATGTTTAGACCACGGATGTTATGATAGCTCATGAAGTGTTCAATATTTCGAGTCAAAATTTTTACTATGATCTATTAAGATCTGAATATACATTTCGAGAAATTTTCAGCTAGATCAATTGTTCTGAAGCAAAAATAGGTTTCTAACAGTGGGTAAGTCTTAAAGAATAATAAATCATTCATTTCAATGCTCTATATCAAGATCAAAAGTTAATTTTTGTCGCAAGAATTAAGATTATAGTCGATGATTTGATTTTTCTTTAACATCTCGTTTATCGGTGACTTTCATCATTTTCTGCTGAATTAGATTTAGTGTTTGGTGTTATCTGTCCTAGTATGTTGATGCTAGCATTATCACTTATTTAAATCGAATAGTAATGGAAATGATGCCAAAAATTTTTAGTTCAATTGAATTTATTTTCTTTACTTACTCAGTTGAAATTTCGTGCCATTTAAGACCATCTTCCATTGAAAATTCAAGTTTTCGAAATCTTGATGATTTATTACTAGTTGTCGTTTGACGATGAGTTGTTTCTTTAATCGGTAAATCATTGGACGTGATATTTTCATCTTCAGTAGAGTTTGTTATTAAATTTAGTTTTAATAAATCATTCGAACTTTGTTGTGTATGTACATTCGATAAACTTTTCTCTTTTAATGTATTACTTGAGTCTTGTTGAGGCTCATTATTATTATTACATGATGATGTTACTTTAGTATTTTTAACTATGATTGGTGTTCTTGTTTCTGATTGTGATGACAAGGTTTTCGTTGTTATTAATGATGAAGATGAACTTTTCCATATTGATGATGAAGAATTTCTTCTTGATGATGTTGCTGATGATTCAATTTTTCGATTAATAAAATCTGTTTTCGATGATGTAATTGAAACAGGAAGTGAAGTTGATGATAATGATGATCCTGATCGACTATTATTATCAAATTCAGTTGTTGATCGATCATATGTTTCAATAAGTTTTATGGAATCTTTTGAAGATGTACGTACTAAACTTTCTATAGATGATTTACAGATTGAAATTGATTCTGATATTGTTTGATTGTCTTCAATTGATTGATTTTCTGATGCATATATCCATTCATTTAATTTTGAACATTGAAAAATTCGAGTTGATGAAATAGATTGTCGAGGTAAAACATCCGTAAAAAAACCATCATCATTCATATCTGTTGAAGATGACGAGTTAATTCGATTAATGTTGTTTATTGAATTTGTAAAACTGAATGGAGAACTTCGATATGGTGTTGCTATTAAAGAATTCGCACAAAAAACATGAGTAGAAGATTGTTCTTTTTCACATTGGATTGAAGAATCAATACTAGATTGATGATTTAAACGATTAATGGATTCAATTTTTGATTCATCAAATAACTTATCAAGATCTAAATCAGATTGAGAATTTGAACTTTCATCGATTACAGTTGATTGAACATCTTTATTATTTGATATACTTTGCTCAGGTATACAATTCCGATTCAATAATGTTGGAGCTGAAAAGAAGGAGATTTTAGTCAATACTAAAAAAGGCGAACATTAGTAATGGTGGACCCAGAGTTTTTTGTTAGGAGAGGCGCTCAGCTCTGCCACTGTCTGTCAAGTTTTGACTACAGAGCGAAATGTTGATATGTGACACAAAATTCAACATCTCAACAATACACGATAGAACTTGATAAAAATATACAATATGAGATGAAAAAAGTGTTTCTCGAAAATCTTGCATGCATTCCTTTCTGTAGTCAAAAATGGTCGGAAAACTTAAAGTTGTCTTTGCTAGATTCATACATTGATCGAGTTTTTTCGGAGTAGATGACGATGATCGTGATAGTATTAATTGTGAATTAACAATTGCTTGAAGTTCATCATTAGATTTTGTATCTAATAGGGAACGCCTAAAATATTTTTATACGAAATATGGTTTTTCATTATAAAATTAATAATTTGATATACAGAGATTGTTGAAATAATGGTATTGAATTAGGTCTTGATGGTATTAAGTCTTTTTTTCTCGATGAACTAGTTGAACGTGACTTTGATATTGTTGATATATGTGTAATAGGTCGTTCTTGTTTTTCAATCTTTTCAACATTATTCGAATTCTCTTCAACAGTTGTTGTTTGTATGCTGAAAACAAGAGAGTTTTTGATTAATTAAGTACGAGTATAAAAATCTTTATAGTCATATTAGAAGTATTCATTTATAATACTATGATAGTCTACTAAAAAGAATCGGAAAGCTCTTCCATGGTAGCATCTTGTTTTAGGCTTTGTTATATTAATGGGAACACATCCTCAACTGTCGAACGGAGGTCAATTTGATACTATGACCAAGACTAAATTCCTATGAAATTAAGAGCAGCTTAAAAGAATCTGGGCTCATGACCTTCTAGTGATGAGTTTTGGTTGTTTTACGAGATGGTTAGTAAGAACAAGGTACTTCTGACAACAGGTGGAGTTTTAGCTTGCCATGTCGCCTACTGATAGAGATGATCATCATTAAAAAACTCTGAAACTTTTTAAGAAAAAAAAAACAGCAGCTTACTACGCAAGAACACAATAGTGGAATTCACTTGAAATTTGAGTATCGCAAGAATAACATTCTACGTCTTCATATTTTTGGAAATACGCTACTAATGGTAAAAAGTCGAGTAGAACAACCATAAATTTTGAGTAGTGGGTTTTGGATCCGAATCTTTGTCAGATGTTCTTAATCTTACAGAGTCCAACGATACCTGACAATTGAGTTTATTCCTTCGTAAGACAAAATTCAGCTGTGCCGGATTTTTTTCTCTTAATCATAACTCGTATCAAGAGTCCAAATAGAAGCTGGAATACAGAAAATTGTTTGCAACAGAGATTTGAAGTAGATGCACTTCGTATAACCAAAGTAAGCTTTTGATATCGCTTTCTGGCAGCTGAAAACATAGATTTCTAGTTTTCTAGAGATTCTAGGTTTTCAGAAATATTATGAAAATTTTATTTTCCCTACATGCTTGTCGGAATAAATTATCTCTATTCAAATCAATATTTGGATTCTTTATGATATTTAGTGTTACGGGAAAAAATCGAAATAAAATATGTATAATCAATTATTCGGAGTCGAGAGAAATTTGACTCCGCAAGATTCTATTTCTCGCTCATGTCAAATATATTTACCTTGCTGCTGTTTGCATTGCTAATAAATTGCCATCGAAAGGCTTAAAGATATATAAAAAATATAATATAATAAAATTAGGACTAATGCTTACTTCAAGACCAATATTGGGTTCATTTAAATCTGTATGATCAGAAAGTGAATAATATATATTAACCAGCACCCCTTTTTTCGGTGGAATGTTTCTCATTATATTTGATTTTTTTAATCGTTGACTGACAAATTTTTGATTATTTTTATCAGTATGTTGATATATTTTTGATGAATTAAATTTAATATTTGGTAATCTATTAAAATAGTCTATTTTATCACCTGTTGTTTCATTGATTGATGATATTAATTCATGTTTTTGTCGAACTTGTTTTGATTTATGAATATTACTACCTCTCCAATGTAAAAATGATTGTTGACATGATGCAAAATTTGTTTTTTGATTACATAATTGTTCTGATTCCTGCATATTTAATGTCATTATTGATGTTCGATTTAGATCATCCTTTGATTGTCGATAAGATAATTCTCGAAGATTAATACTGGTATTAAGTAATTGTTTTTTCTTTTGAAAAATTGATAATGGCTTTTCAGATAAAATAATTCGATGATGGCGTTGTAAGGCACCACGAAGATGAAAGTGAGTAAAACAATTAGCACAATAATTTTCAACACACTCGAGACATTTCTTAAAATGTTAAGTGTTATTTATTATTATGATTTGTTTTATTTTATATTTTTTTATTTTTCGTATTGATTTAAAAAAAATTTATTTACCATGTTAGCTTCATCTTTTTCACATTGACCACATTTAGTTGTCGGTTTTATTGTTAATGATTTCATAGAGAAATTAACTATAAGAAATGGTCGAATAATATTAATCGAAGAATTTCTGTGTACCTGTTGGTTTATTACGTGAAATTCCTTTATTTGAAATAGAGCGATATGTTTCGATACTTATAATAAATAACAATGAATTTTTTTTATAAACTTAATTAGAATAGAAGAACATACGTTGGTATTGCTTTATTTTGCTGCATTGAATATTTTTTTCTTTTAATTTATTTGAAGTGCTTTCAAGTGCATATATATTTATATTTTTCTTTCAAGTAGATCTTTAGTCAATCTACTGAATAAATTACGAAAATATCAAAAACAAACATCAATTCAAAACTTCAAGTACCAAACACTTTATTTGTTTGTTATAGATGTCTATAATGATCACCGAGTGGTATTTTTCAGATTGTAGATGATTGTACAGTACTAATCTTTAATATGAATTTTACGTAACTATCGATGCATGTTGCCGTCAAGCAGCCGCCTCTTCAAGGACCATCAATATAAAGCAACAGATGCCGCGCATTAAAAGGTATATTGATTTTGTTTACTTATTCAAGTGAATCAATTCGATTTAAAAAAGTAAATATGACTTTTATTAATGTTTATTTTGAAATATTAATTAGTGTGAAATATATATGTTATTATATGAAAATATATAATTGCCAGACAGACTTGATTACTCTGAGCACAATTTTCAATAATAAACATATATATATATATATAGAAAAAAAAAGAAATCTCTAACTATATGTATTAAATATGTTCCCTTATCACAGCCTGTTGAATGCTTGGATGGGATAAAAAAAAAAGAAAAAAACACAAGAACATGTTCATGCAGTTTTTTCTAATTGTTTTTTTTTGTTTAAAATTCAGTAAAATATATTAATGTATAATTAGTTTTTTTTCTCCTCGTTTGCAGACATAAATGAATTATGGTATGCAGCATATGGGGGAGGAACAAAATCATCAGGATTTGAAGCTTGATATTTTTCTGCTTCAGCACGTTTTTCTTCTGCACTTAAATCTGTTACATTTTGATCTTCTTCGCTCATTGGTTGCCATCCAGATGAATTAACATATTGGTCATATTCTTGCTGCATTGATTGTTGATAACGTTGATAATAATAATAATAGAAAAGTGTACCAGAACAACAAATTAATAGACCGAAAAATAAAACAATACATAATACGATAACAATGATATAAATTGCTGCTTTATCACTAAGGATATTCAGGCTTTCAAAAAGTGAACCCATATAATCACGACATTCAATTGTACCCCATTGGCACCAACATTGCATTTTATTTTCTACAGATTTTATGACGGAACCTATATACATAAAAAAAAAAATTATTTATTATATAAATATATATATATTTTTTTTTTTAAGGATTAGAACGAACCATGTGGGAAAGGCACGCCATTATATAGACACGAATTTCCTGGAGCTTCATATCCACATTGTGCACAACAGTGGCCTGGTTTTCGATTTGGCATTGTATCATCGATACAATATGCTGGCATACATTGAACTGTTGAACAACGAATAATACGTGATGATGTACATTGGCACATTGAACATACTGATTGCATGTATGTATAACCAAGAGCAAAAAAAGTACCATTGCGGTGACGACACCAATGAGCACGCTCAAGTGATGTAGATTCTGGAGGATTATTTTGATCGTCATCTCGAACATGTAAACGTTTGTTAGTTTCACCAACAGCAGCAAGAATAAGTGCCGTAAGCACTGCTACTGTTATTACTGCACGTAATTCAACCATACTACTTGCGTATAGGAAGCAGATCAATATGATGTCGTTTGTATGAATGCAATATGATGCGATGATATACCTGTTAAAAATAAAACTATCGTTTTTCTCTCTCTTTTCTTCGCGTCCAATTGATGTCGTCGAAGGTGTCTCTCAGTCATTTTTTTTATTACTTCGTTATTACATGTTTCTTTTTTGTACAAAAATCACAATTTATTTTCTTTTCTCTCTCTTTTTGATTACTTGTTAGACTAAGTTTGCATGGGGATGGTTGCGATTTCATCTAAATATATTTTTCTCATTTGCTATTCTTCTATCGATTTCGGAAGAAGAAAAAGAAACATGAATGCATTTTCTCATATCATTCTTATTATATCTAACTTCGAAATACATACAGTCACACTCGACTGATTTGCTTGTCGTCTGCATAGTATCTTTCGTTTTCGTTCTTTGCATTGAAGCAAATAATTATTGATTCAAAAAAAAAAATAGAGAAGCCAATAATCATTCACTAATAAAATAGAAAATTAAATTACAAATTAGGAAACCATGACATTCTCTAAATTTCTATCTTAATTTTTTTAGATTTTTATGAAATGAGAATCAATAATGTTTATTTTGTTTTTCTTTTTTCGTTAAAATACGAATTTACATTCGCATGCAAAAGAAAAAAAGATGAAATGATCTAATCACTAATATAAATCACCGGACGATATCTCCGAGTTTTAATGTTTTAATTAATGTTCATAAAGAAGATCATAATGACCAGGACGATAAAGCATTGTAATCATTGGTTTAAATGTACTTTTATTGTCGTCATCCGTAGCTGAAAAATCATGTGTTGTTAATAAAGAGTGTTCACTTCGGTCCATATATATAACACGTAAAGGAACAGCTGCTGCTTTAGCTAAGGCAATTATATGAATATTATCTGATTCACGTGCCATTGGTTCAACTTCCTTTCATAGAAAATAAACAATTAAACTAGATGTAATCAAGTAAAAAAAAAAGTTTACATACGGTGCTACAAAATTGTTTTACAGTTTTTCCATCTTCAATAAAATTTTCAAAAAATGTAGAATTCATTTGTAGATAAGCCGAAGTAAATAACCTATAGAGTAAAAGTCAATATGTAAGTTTTTCGCATGTTTTTTTCGAATTCTTGTAGTTAAAATAATCGAAACATATTTTCACAGCTTAGTACCAATTATAATTTTAGCCTTTCAATTTTAATTTATCAATCAAGACTATTGTTCGTCTATTAGAATCTGAATTTTGTGCTCTTTCAGAACATATATTTACAATGGAGATATTTCAAGTGATAAAAGCTTGCTAATGCAGTTCGTTTGAGACTTATCTGTCTCATTTATTTCTGTACTTCGATCAGAATTTTTTTAACGGATGCCCTATATTTGTTGATATTGTTACTATTAGAAGCATTGAATTAAACTGCAAATAAGACTGTTGTAAATATTCATTATATCAACAGCAGCAGATCTCAACGCACGATTATATATTAGGGTCAAGTCACATACAGTGAGATTGATTATTTCACACTTTTAATGTTGAGTATACAACAACTGTGACAAATCAATGTATCAGTATTCATCATCGTTGACATCTTGAATATAGATTTTTATCTTCGCAAAAGTCATAAACGTATTCTAACCGTTCAGGGCTTTTTTCCATTACTCAAGTCTGTAATGGTGAGGGAAGGAGTGACGATACAAACGTCACTTATGTTCTATTTTGATGTTGTTTACGTATGTACATTTATTTCGCTCTGTAGTTTCCCTCATTGTCTTGTTGCCCACGCTATATATTTTATTGTTGATATGTTTGTATTTTTCATTAGTCATTTTCACTTTATTCATATTTCTCTCTTCACTCTTTCACATCTTCATTCATTTCTACTTTCTCTTGCTTGTCATTTTACCGTTCTCTGTCTTTTTATGTTTATTAAATATACTACTGGATCTTCATTTACATTCAATTCTGAATTTCTCTGATCCTTGTCATTTGTCACCATTGTCATTGCAGCATCTGGCATCTTCTCAATAGTTGCTTCTCAAACAACATTGACTCACTATTTTCTTCGAAAATATGCACAAGCTTCACAAAATCGCTGTTGAATTCAGGCTCTATATCTAGCATGTGTCTGATGGTTAGTGGGTGCTGAAAATTCCAGCTGAGAGATTGTTCTTCACGAGATACTGAATTTTGAAAGATTTTTTTTACCTGTCGCAAGATATTAGTGATTTGAAAAAATTCAATAACTCACAAAAGAAAAATTCTTTTTGAACTAAAGTTTTCAGGACATTCTAATCATCAGATATATATCGTGCCATCATGTAAAATGGCCATAATTCTGGAAGGAACATCTGATTTATTAGCAGAGACGAAACTCAAAATCCTGATTCTAAATAACTACCAATGCATTTAAATACGCAAAAAAATAGTTAAATATTTTGTCTCAGAATCTTTCGACCTTTTCAAAAATTAGCTTGACCATCTCAACAATAGATTGATAGTTTCAAAATTTTGTAAATTCATATAATCATAAAAAGTCTCGTTATTTACTGACGCAATGCTCTTTTTCAATATTCACCAATACAGAAAAAAAGCATGACACTTTTCTGTTGTTTCTACTATTATGCATTTCCTCAAGTTGTGAATCTAGAATTATTTTTCAAACCAATAATCGGATAAATTTATTTTATTCAGACAAAACTGGACAGATTATTTTGTAATTAGATTTAACAAAGGACTTTTTGGATTCGTTAATATTCTCTTTGGTGTCTCTTCGAGACATAAACATATGAGAAGATATGAAACAAGCCTCAAAAATACACCAGGTTTTACAATGAATAAAGCTCATCATTGAAAAATCCTGTAATGTTCAACTTAAAATACTGATAGGCAATTTAAAAAGTTCTGACCACTTATTACAAAGTATCACTTAATTTTTGTGTAACCAATCTGTACTACCTGATTAAGATCTAGAGATTAAAATAAAGAATTTGATATCAATGAGCACTTTTATATTAAGGCGATTTGAAAAAAATTTTCAAATCAAAAAATAGATGTTTGACTCATAGAATTACATTAATAAAAAAAAAGTTCACGTCTCTATACTTTACTGTTCTAAAGGTTTTCAGGAACACCTATGGGTGATTTTTTAAAAAACTCTGAGTTTATCTAACATTGGACGATTTATTGCAAATTTTCTTTCCTTCGTCTGAACAACTATGCATATATCTATCAATTAACAAAAGCACAGCTCTCTAGAATTATTAATCGTCCAATCATTAGTTAAAATAAAGATAAGGTATCAATTTATTACATGCACCATCCAACAACATAATAAAGACAAAAAAAAACAAATTACTTTTTTTTAATTCGCGTGTTGCCTGACAGTTCTTTTAAAAGGCTGATAGGATTACATGTGCTGTTTCAAGATTTCTTCAAAAGATTCATTAAGTATTAGAATAAGAGATATAGAGTGTGGCTGCCGTCGTGTATGTTCGTGGAATGTCTCCCATGCTGGTACTTAATTGAGTTTCTGGGAATACTCATCAAAGACATCATATGAAGTTTTATTTTATATGAAGCATCTACTTTAAGGATGTGTAAAGAGAAGATATATCTCCATTTGCTCAAGTCATTTTAAATCTGAAAATTGTGCTACTGAGACGCACAAAATTTGACAATCTCTGTAAAAATATTTGTGTATTTTGCATATATAATTAAATAACACAATTTTACTAGGTGTTGTAGACATCATTATGTGTTCAAATGGTTTCAAAGACCATTCTCGAAATCCTCCAAAAGCTTCAACAATCGAAATCTCGTATACTATACAATACATTTATCTCAAATTAATCATTCGTTAAATGAAAATTGAATTTTTTTGAGTAGAAAGCGTTAAAACTACTAAGATCATCTCTCACCGTAAATAAGCAACAAAATAGTCTGAATATGCTGGTGAGCAAAAACTTTCCATTAAAGTTGTTTCACTTCCACCTTTGTATACATTATCAATTACTTCGAGAACCTAAAAGCAAAAAAGTGAAGTTAAAAGTTAATTTTCTATTTTTTTTTTCTTATACAACATACCACATCATTAACATCTTCAACAGTAAAATCTAAATAACCTAACTGAACAAGTTTATTTTTTAAATCGCGTGTTAATTGACGAAATCGTTCAAGTTCATTTTTATTATTTAAATTTTTTTCAAGATAACCAAAACCAAATGCACGATAGAAACAATTACCATCACCTCGTGTACGTCGAAGATATTTATATTTTTTCATTAATTCCTTTTGTTTTAAGTAAAGTTTTATTTCTATGAATGAAAATAGTTTAACTTACAGATACTTTATCTTGATAAATTTTATCTTCTGATAAATATTCATTTTTTAATTCACTTGTTTCAATTTTAGCACTTATTAATGGTTGATGATCGGCAACCTAGAGAAAGAATTCCACTTAATAGAAATCAGCAACATATATATTTACTTCTTTTTCAATTTCATTTTGTTGTTCTTGTGTTCGTTGATCAAGGTCTACGTCTTAATAAACATAAAAGATTTTTTCTTTTTCTTTTTCTTTTTTAATTAATAAACTAACCAACAGATGCATAATTATTATTACTTGAAGCTGTTTCGTTAGTAGTCGAGATACCTGTTAAATCACTTGAAGTTGCCATGCACGAAATGGTAGTGATGAAGAGAGAGAAAATTTTAAAAGCAGACGGTCGGATATTAAAAAGAGGATTGTGTTCATGTTTATGTCATGTTTTCAATAACTTTTTATCACCAATAAGAAAAAGTCAAGGTTCAGATGTCGCTGAACGTTATTTCAATTTATTACGCATTAGAAGTATGACCACAACATAATCTGTAGAATTTTAATCGATCTTCTCCAATGAAATGATGTTTGGGTTTTTTAGAGCTATCTTGTGTGTATTAGAAACTATTATCATCATCGGATATTCTCAATCATCTGTCAA